TTTCTCTGGCTGAGTACCTTCCCACTGCACTCTAACTGCTTCCCATTAATATTGACCTGCCTTCCAAGGCCAGCTTATCTGTGTCCCTGGCACCTACTGGATGGAAGCTGGACAGACAGGAGGCTGGTACAGCTTCTCCTCTGCCCTCAACAGCAAGGGGTCCCAGCACGGGCTGGGCAAAGGCTGAGAAAGCCTGACTGGGTGCTGGCTTGGAAGGATGCTGTTTTGGGTAAGGTGCTGGCCTGACTGGATTCTGTTTTTGGTAGGATGCTGGAGTGGCTGGATGTTGTTTGGTAAGGTGCTAGTATGGATGGATGCTGTTTTGGTAGGGTGTTGACATGGTTAGGCTGTGTGCTGTTTTGGTAGGGTTCTGGCATGGTTAGGCTGTGTGCTGTTTTGGTAGGGTTCTGGCATGGTTAGGCTGTGTGCTGTTTTGGTGGGGTTCTGGCACGGTTAGGCTGTGTGCTGTTTTGGTAGGGTTCTGGCATGACTGTGTGCTGTTTTGGTAGGGTTCTGGCATGGTTAGGCTGTGTGCTGTTTTGGTAGGCTTCTGACACAGTTAGGCTGTGTGCTGCTTTGGTAGGGTTCTGGCATGGTTAGGCTGTGTGCTGTTTTGGTGGGGTTCTGGCATGGTTAGGCTGTGCGCTGTTTTGGTGGGGTTCTGGCATGGTTAGGCTGTGTGCTGTTTTGGTAGGGTTCTGGCATGGTTAGGCTGTGTGCTGTTTTGGTGGGGTTCTGGCATGGTTAGGCTGTGCGCTGTTTTGGTGGGGTTCTGGCACGGTTAGGCTGTGTGCTGTTTTGGTGGGGTTCTGGCATGGTTAGGCTGTGTGCTGTTTTGGTGGGGTTCTGGCACGGTTAGGCTGTGTGCTGTTTTGGTAGGGTTCTGGCATGGTTAGGCTGTGTGCTGTTTTGGTAGGGTTCTGGCATGGTTAGGCTGTGTGCTGTTTTGGTAGGGTGCTGACACAGTTAAGCTGTGTGCTGTTTTGGTAGGGTTCTGGCATGGTTAGGCTGTGTGCTGTTTTGGTAGGGTTCTGGCATGGTTAGGCTGTGTGCTGTTTTGGTAGGGTTCTGGCATGGTTAGGCTGTGTGCTGTTTTGGTAGGGTTCTGGCATGGTTAGGCTGTGTGCTGTTTTGGTAGGGTTCTGGCATGGTTAGGCTGTGTGCTGTTTTGGTAGGGTTCTGGCATGGTTAGGCTGTGTGCTGTTTTGGTGGGGTTCTGGCATGGTTAGGCTGTGTGCTGTTTTGGTGGGGTACTGGCATGTCTGGATGCTGTTTGGGGAGGATGCTAGCCATTATCGTCTCTCTTACAATGTTTAGTTTCATCCTTCCACTTCAAAATTCCCCTTTTCTCAAGAAATGCATTCTTCAGTGGGGCAGCCACTGCAGTAAAGAGCTGTAAATAACTGGAATTAAACTCATTAAGTCAGAAAAAGAGCATGAAAGGTGAAAGTAATAAGGGGGGCTGATTAAGAAAAGAAAAATGTTCGAGGGGACAGATGAGGGTAACAAGGGGTGAATGCGATTCAAATATGGAATATATATATTTTGAACTATATATGTAGAGAATGGCATGATAAAACCCATCATAATATAAACTTGATACATGCTAAGAAAAATCCACTTTTAAAATCCCCTCTGCACCCCCAGCCTCTCTCTGCCTGGCATCCAGCTTGGCTCCTTGATCCCCTCTCAGGACTGCCACATCGCTGTGCCCTCTGCCAGAAAGTCTTCCCTTAATGTTTCCAGGGCTCGCTCATCAAGCCTTCAGGTCTCCATGAAATGTCGTCTTTCCCAGGAGCCCTTCTGTGACCATGGATTTTAAGATAAAGCCCTCCACTCCCACCTGATGTCCCCGTAGTATTCGTTGCCATTACACACACCGGATATTTCTCTTATCTAAGCTGTTGTTAATGTCCCGGTAGGATGCAAGCTCTCCAAAGGCTGAAGTTGTTTTGATTACTGAAGCCACCACACACAGCTTAGTGTTATTCATGAGAAGAGCCCTATGTAATGAACAAATAAACCACCAGTTAGACGTCAAGACTGCCTTAGAACGGTTTACATTCCCCCACCCACCCCTCAAACACAACCCGCCCCCATTATCAATAACTTATCTGACTCTGATGTCTTTTTTTTTCCTTTTCTTTTTTATATTTTATGTTTAAATTTAAATTAGTAACAAGGTTGCTTCACAAGTCAGTTCCAGGTCCCTCTCCATTACCCTCCCCTCCTCCCATGCCCTCCCACCAAACCCCCCATTATCCCCTCATTTCCCCAGGGAGGGTGAGGCCCTCCATGGGGGTGTCCATAGTCTGTCATTTCATCCAAGGCAGGGCTTAGACGACTCTGATCTCTTGTACACATTCCTGGGAGCTTCCCTACACATTTCATTTAGTTTCTTAGGAGCTCGACTTTCCATTGAATATTCAAGCACAATGCTTTAAATGCCAGATATCTTGGGAAGACCAGAAAGGCTTCCACAAACCAAACCCTCTTCTAGACTTGTGCCTGTTCACTGAGAGGCTATGAGCAGAGTTCCTCCGCCATCTTGTGGACAAGTATAGAACTACAACTACAAACAGGCCGACATCCTGGTTCCACGCATGCGTGTGAGAAATGTATGCTTATTGAGGTCCCTTCCCTATGCCTAAAGCAACCCACTTTATCCCCTGGCCAGACCTGCTGTGTTTCCAAAAGTTCCTTGGCTAGAAGTGCTTTAAGGTACTGATTCTCACTGTCATGAGAAACAAATTTCCTCTTAGCCCAGCAAGCACGCCCCCATCCTGCCAGCTAACCCCAAACCCAGAAGCCCTGTGGGGAAGAGGGACTTCAGGAGCCACATGGGAAGCTTGGGGCCCTCTCAAATCAAGCCTAATGCGCCAGCTCGGGGCGTTCTACCATATCCTTCATCCCAGTATCAGAGTAGAGGTGCTAGGTATAAACACTCCCAGGAGAAGGGACCACCACGCTAGAGGTTCAGTGATTCCGGCTACCAGCGACCACCATACAACATGCAGGTACTTGTTTAGAGGGCAGCGGTGAAGGTTACTGGTCCACTAGCAGGCAAATCTTAGAGGCAGATGGACGTGAAGGGGCAGGTCTGTGACACAGGCCAGGAGACTCCAAATTCAGCTTTACAGTCATGAGTTACCTTCGGCTCTGCCTGCCTAGCTGTACGTGGTAGAACATAATCCATACCATGTGCTGGGATCGGGGAGCAACACGAGGCCAGGAGTAGCTGTGTCACCTCAGCTCGGCCTGTCTTGAAAACAGCCACCCAAAGCCTTAGGGTGTGGGCTGAGTGAGGCAGCTTGTTGTAATGAGATAATCATTTGGAAAGACCCCAGTTGAGTAGGTTCTGAAATCCCATTAGCCAAGATTATAGAGACTTTTTGCCTTTTCTTTATCTATAGAAGAAAAGAAATAGAGCACAAAGTCTTAAGATTTCAACTTCAAGCCAGTATTTCTGAATTACCCTCAGGAGGAAGAAACCCCACAGAGGAGTGCTGTTTCCAACCCCGGCACCTGAATTAAATACTCTCTTCAGCAGCCAGCCGAGTGATCTTGGGATCAACCTCTCCAGGCCCCATGTCCTACCCTGTGAAATGGCAAACTGAAACTGTGAAAAGCAGTTAGCCAACTCCTCAAAAAGTTCAGTCCAGGGCCCTCTGCTCCTCCCAGTCCAGAGACTGCCACATCTCATGCAGTGCCGGCCTCATCCCTGAGACACCATGGTGAAGGTTGGAATGAACAGATTTGGCAGTACTGGGAACCTGGTTGCCAGGGCTTCCTTCTTGTCTGGCAAAGTGGATGTTATTGCCATCATTGACCCTCTCATTGACCTCAACTACATGGTCTACATGTTCCAGAATGACTCTACCCATGGCAAGTTCAATTGCACAGTCAAGGCTGAGAATAGGAAGCTTGTCATCAATGGGAAGGCCATGACCATCTTCCAGGAGTGAGATTCCACCAAATGGGGTGATGCTGGTGCTTAGTAAGTAGTGGAGTCTACTGGTGTTTTCACCACCATGGAGAAGACTGGGCCTACTTAAAGGATGGGACCAAAAGGGTCGTCATCTCTGCCCCTTCTGCTGATGCCTCCATGTTTGTGATGGGTGTGAGTCATGAGAAGTATGACAACCCACTAAAGATTGTCAGCAAAGCTTCTTGCACCACCAGCTGCTTAGTCCCCTTGACCAATGTCATCCATGACAACACTGGCATTGTTGAAGGACTCGTGACCACACTTCATGCCATCACTGCCATCCAGAGGACTGTGCATAGCCCCCCTGGGAAGCTGTGGCATGATGGCCATAGGGCTGCCCAGAACGTCATCCCTGCATCCACTGATACTGCCAAGGTCATGGACAAGGTCATCCCAGTGCTAAACAGGAAGTTCACAGGCATGGTCTTCCATGTTCCTATCCCCAATGTGTCTGTCATGGATCTGACTTGTGACCTGGAGAAAGATGCCAAGCAAGTGTGATGACATTAAGAGAGTGGCAAAGTAGACATCCAAAGGCTCACAAAAGGTGACGCCTACTGTTCCACCTTTAATGCTTTGGCTGGCGTTGTTCTCAATGACAACTTGACAATGAATATGGCTACAGCAACAGGGCAGTGGACCTACATAGCCTCCAAGGATGGAGAAGCCCTGGATCACCCAACCCAGAAAGAACACAAGATCAAGAGAAAGGCCCTCAGCTGCTGAGGAGGGTACCTGTCCTAACTCAGCCCTGGACATTGTGTATCTCCCTCACAGTTTCCATCCCATGACCCCAGAAGAAGGGGAGAGACTTAGAGAGCCCTACTCTCTCAAATACCATAAATGAAGTTCACTGCGCGCACGCACACACGCACACAGAGAGAGAGAGAGAGAGAGGGAGGGAGGGAGGGAGGGAGGGAGGGAGGGAGGGAGAGAGAGAGAGAGAGAGAGATGCAGAACACACACACACAGAGACACATAAATAAAAATAAATCTTGAAAAAGAAAGATGCTCTGATGCTCATTATATCATGAAGTTGAAGGCATCAATGGTATGACATGTGAGTCAGGTCCTAAAGGATGAACATGTCTCCACTGAGATTCCTGGAACAGACAATCTGCAGAGAACACTTAAGGTTATGAGGAGATGGAAGGGGAGTCCTTGTCCTATATGTGCAGAGTTTCTGTTCAAAATGGAAGGCAATGTTACCACAATAAGAAGCAAAGTCATAGATCAACAGATGAGCTGGTATGAAGACTGGTGTTAATTATCAAGTTGATAGAATCTAGACTCACCCGGTAACTGGCCTATAGGCATACCTGTGGAGGATGGTCATGTGTTCATCAATATGGGATGGCCCATCTTAATTGTGGGTGACTCCATTCTCTGGGGCGGCGATCCTGACTGTACAAAATGGTGAGTCAACTGAGTATGCCTACTCTGCTCCCTTCCTCTGAATGAGGACATATTGTGGCCAGCTTCTTCAAGCCCCTGCTGCCTTATCCACACCATAGTGGACTGTGCCTGAAACAAAAAGCCAAATCTCATCCTCAAGTTGCTTTGGCCAGAGTATTTTATTGGAAACTCATACGAAAAGATAATAGCTACATAACAAAAGACAACAGAGAGGTGAAACTCAGATAGAGAATGATGGGAATTTATAGACAGATACGTAGGCAGAGAGATAGTAGGAAAGACAAATAGAAGAAGATGGCAAGTTACTATACTGTCATACCTTGTGATGGCTAGCCTTGGTTGTCAACTTGACACACTTGGGAACAGGAAACTTCAGCTGAAGAATTGTCTCCATCAGATTGGATGGTGGGCATGTCTGTGAGGCATTTTCTTGGTCGCTGACTAATATAGGAGGGCTCAGTCCACTGTAGACTGTAACATCTCTGGGTGTGCAAACATACACACATGTAGAAGGCAGATGGATATGAGCCTGGGAACAAAGCAATAAGTGGGTTTCGGCTCCAGAATTCCTGCCTTGGCTTCTCTCAATGATAAACTATAATGTATAACATGAAATAAACCTTTTCCTCCCCAAGTTGCTTTTGGTCCATCTTTATTATACTATTACATTATTACAAACTGTTACTCAGCCTCCAAAACACCCAGTGCCCATACTATATCATCTACAGAGATGTTTGAACGTAGGTTCATTCACTGTGTTCAAAAATTGAGTTCAATAGGCTTTGTGAGCTAATTGGTCTAGCTTTGTTGATTATTGGAGCACAAAAATGGAAAATATTATAATGAGCTTTCCTCCTGAGTCACTGCCATCCTAGACAAGTTACTTTCTCAAATTCCTGTAGGGATGGAAACTTCCTTCTCTGGAGTTAAGATATACTCCCCCCTCTAAATATGCACTAAGATATACTCTAAAATATACTCCCCCCATGTTCAGTGTAGAAGAATGACTGTTTTTCTTCCCATTTTAATCAACATGGACCATTTCAAAGCCAGGAAAAGTCATGTATTAGATGAAGGAGAAGGCCGGACACCATGGGAATGCTGGTTAAGAGGATACCGCCATTTGCCAAAAATGTGACCTATGCAGCTGAGGCCCATGTCATGGTGCTCCTCTCGTGGGTTTATTTGTGTATTCTGGAATTGGCCACTTGCTTTTCTTTCAGATGTTGGGGGAAAAAATACAGCTGCTCTGGGTATGAGTGAGGCAAAAGGAAGGGGAAGAAGGCGCTGCCCACAAGGAAAGGAAGGGGAGAATCCTTCAACTTAAGAAACTGGACATTCCAAGCAGAAGTAACCTCCTCGCCCCAGCAAATAAAAAAACAAGAGACAACAGATAGTAAGACTCCCAAGCTCTGTTTTTTCTAGAAGAAAAGGAAGTCAAGAGGATCATAACTTTAAAGGATTTAGACCATGGGTATCTACGCAGAGAGCCCTTGCCGTGTTTCCTTATCACATCCAAATCCTGTAGAAGTGCATGATCCAAGTCAGAAATATTAAAGACCATAAAGTAGAGATTCAAATGCCTCTCCAGATACGAGCCTCTTCTGTGAGAAAGCACATCTCTGAGGACTGGTAACAAGAAGCATAAAGCAAAGCAATACAAAAATCATCTGCATTGGTGAAAGTGTCTTCCACACAAAAGTCAATAAAGAGCAAAATGGGGTCTTTCGCCTTTGCAGACTGCAATATAGTTGAGAATTTTAAAGAATGGAATCCCAAACAGGGAGATGATTTGAGTAGCTAAGTCAGTAAGTAATGTAGAAAGTGGGAATTCTAAGAACTGGGAACATAGTTCAATTAGTAGAATTCTCACCATGTATACATGAGGCCCTTGGTTGGATGCCCAGCACCACAAAAACCAGGCATGACAGCATATTCCTATAATTTCAGCATATGTAGAGGCAGGAGAATCGGAAGTTTAAGGCTATCCTTGGCTACATCGCAACCTAAAGGCCAGTCTGGCAAATGTGAGACCTCTTTTATGTATATATTTGGTTTTTCAAGACAGGGTTTCTCTGGATAATAGTCTATAATTAGCCTTGTAGACCAGATTGGCCTCAAACTCACAGAGATCTACCTGCCTCTACCACCCAAGAACTGGGATTAAAGATGTGTGCCCTGTAAGATGTCTTTAAAGAAAGGAACTCTAGCTCCAAACAGAAGGTTGGGAAGGTTGGATATGTGTGTTGGATATATTCCTCTCTCACCTGAATTTTCAGTAAAACGACAGAAGGAAATGTTAACAAAGATATAAACCTGAAAGGAATTAAGAATGTGGAGACTATCATTCATGAATAATCAAAAGTATCTAGAAGACGGGGTAGGGAGGAGAGCCAAGCAAAGAAGTAGGAAGAAGACGAGGTGTCTCCTAAGAGGACACTGTAGTCTGGAGTCTCTGAGAAAGGGGACACATTTCAGGCCATGCCTGGCAGCTCTGCTAAACCCAATGAGACTCAGCTCTCAGGGACAGGGTGGTGATGGCCATGAAATGGAACCCTGGACTTTTCCTGTTCTCTGCCCAGATCTCTTCGGAGCCCCATCCTCATGCCTGTCTCGTCTATGAGTGTTCTCCTCGAATCAGGTAGACCCACTGGAAACATCTCCACTTTCTGTCCTTCAGGATCCCCACCTCCCAAAGGCAAGGCCACACAGCCAACAGACCGGATCCCCACACAAGACCTTCTCACTGGCTCACACGCACCTGTGCACACAACCAATTTCAGGATAGATTGAGCCATTTTTTAACAGCTCATGCCAGTGTTTAAAAAAATTTTTTTAACCTCTAACAAGTGTGTCCACAAAACAAAAATAAGATGTTGTATCAAAGGAGCAAACAAAAACAAGCCCCTCTGTCATGAAACAGAAATGTTCCAAGTCTACAAAGAGAAAAATCATCTGAATAATTAAGTTAAAATAGAATCCAGATCATTAGAAATATAGACAGGGGTCGGGGGAGCAAAAGACAGAAAGACAGGCGAGCTAGAAGACCGTTCCCTAGACAGAGTAGGAGACTGAGAACTTAGAAAAGGAAAGGCAAAGAAGTTATTAGCGACATAATACAAGACAGCGAGAATTCAGAGATACATCTGAACCCTGAGGACTCAGGTCATGAGGAAGTCCACACAAAGGAGGGAAATTTTTCACCCAGCCTTGAAGAATGCACACGGTTCTGAACAATGGGGAGAGGCAAGGCTATCAAGGTGCACGGCACAGCATCTCATCAAAGATCTGGGCCAGGAAACAGCATCGCTTGCTCCATGGGGATGACGTAGTCTCAGATTTAAGTCTCCTAACACAAGCTTCTCCAGCCGCTAGCCTGAGCTCCCTCATACAGTGCTCACCAGAATCCTCCCCACCACCTCACAATTCTCAGTTACGGACCGGGACCCTCAGCCTGGAAGAGAAGAGCGATGCATTGAAGTGTCACACGGTCAGCTGGCTGACAGCAGAATTCCTGTCCACGGAACCTTCAGACTCTAGGTGCCCCCCTCACTCATCTGCCTGGAACTGAAGGTCCTCATGGGGAAAAAGAGGACTCTGATGAGACAGGTGAAAACGTGTGGCCCAGGGTACATGTTCAAATATGGTTTTAGAGAGATGCAGAGGACGCGGGTTCAGTTCCTAGCACGTGCACCTACACAGTGCTTACAACCGTTTGTAACTCCAGTTCTAGGGAATCCAACATTCTCTTCCGGTCTCTGTGGCCGCCACATGCACGTGGTGCACAGACACTCACACATAAAGTGAAGACAAACGTTTTCTTTAAAGCCTTGAATATCATGTAATGGGGTTTCAGGTGTGTCGCTATGGCAATGGGAAGCCACAGGAGGCTTGTGAAAAGTGGACAGGATGGCGAGAGAGTGCTGTGGAAGGCTTAGTGGGCAGCATTGGGCAGTCTGGGGTAAAATAAAAGGCCTCTTCACAGTTCTGCATCAAGTCAGGTCTCCATGCTGTCATGGACCTAAACATATCTCAGTAGGGACTGGGTAGAGTCATTTCATCCATCCATTTTTGCACTTCACTCATAATATACACCCCCAGATGAAGTAACTGCCCTGCCCATGCCTTCCTCTTGGGATCCATTTTTAGCACTGGTATATATCCCACTTTCTTTGTTGGGCTTTGGATCTACTGGCATCACTTGAGTCTCTTCTTCAGAGGCTGGGCCTCCTGCTCCTGGGGTGTCTAAAAGCAAGGTAAGGAAATTGAGGGTCTTTGAACTCCAACCCCACAGGCCCTTACCCATGATAGATGGGACATGAACAGTCCCCTCCACAGCCTGGACACAGGCATCTCTGCAGCAGGGTTTACACTCCAGAGCCTGTGCAGTGTCTAGCAGAAGCTTCCTTCTGTGGGTACTACTATGTGTTGATGATGATGACGATGACGACGATGATGTCTGTTTCTCCTACCATGCTTCCAGGAGTGCTCCTCCACACATCCCTTGCACGCACATCTTCAGCTCAGCATCCCTGTTTGAGGACTCTAACCTGAGACAAGGGAGAAAGAGGAAACAGTGAAGAAAGGGAAGAGGTGCTCAGAACAGGTGCAATGTGAGGCAGAGCATCTTCAAGCCACAGTCCTTTGGCACAGCAGCCTACCCAGAACATACACCTAACCCTCCATGGCAGCCTTTTGCTGAGATTTGAGATAGGATGCTGTTACCTGGGGGTCTTGAACCGTCAAGGGGGCAAGAGATCCTGGGACAGCCCTCCCTCGTCACTCTTCCCTGGTGACTTTTCTAAGCCAGTAGCAAAACTGCTCAGAACCACCCTACCTGGAAGGAACTTCCTGTCCCATAATTCACAAAGCTAAAATAAGGAAGCTTCCAAGTTCAGAGGGTAGCCAGGCAATTGTTCCCAGTGAGCTACATTTATCTCCTTCCAGTTTCCCAAAACATACTTGGGGCAGGGTGGAGCTGCTTCTTTTTTTTATTTCTCCTATTTCTGTTGAAGGGAGGAAAGCAGAGGCTCAGCTTACATTTTGAGCTAATTAAGTTAGAGTCCTCTGAGGCAGACACAGGGATCAGACAGGAAGTCTGTGGAGGTGTGTCAAAACGCAGCCATGTGCTCCTGACCCTGTGAGAAATGCTGATTGCACCCTAGAGCAATCCAGTTAAGTGGCAGATCCTGGGGTTCTCTGCTCCATGGGAAACACAATTCTTATTCCTGGTGAGTTTACTTTCCCATAAACCTCAGGAGTCCATCCACTGTTGAAAAGTCAACTCTCATCAGCAAAATTCTCCTCAGCGGCTGGTGTGGTCTTTGGGAAAGACATGCCATTTTACCATTCGTATTTGTGACATCTTCTAACTGAAATAGCCGTGAGGCACTGTTTTATCAATGTGACAAAATACTTGAGGGAACAAGGTAAGAGGATAGAAAGTCTGCTCAGGTTCCTGCTGTCAGAGGTTTCGTCCATGGTCTCCCCTGAGGCAAGTCTGTCATGGTGGCAGAAGGTCATGGTGGAGGAGACTGTTTACCTCATGGAAGACAGATGCAGAGACATACAGAGAGGAAGAGGCTGAGGACAAGACATAGACTACCAGAAGAAACAGCCACTCTTGAGACTACAGAAACAAGTCAAAAACAAGTTCACAGAGGTACTCTAAGCTAATGGACTCTGTGTGAGCCCGATAAAGACTGCTTGAGCCTCAAAAAATATAATAGGCTGGACATGGTGGGCACACCTTTAATCCCAGCACTTAATCCATTGATTAGGTCTCCTGATGAGACAGCAATACCCATGGCTCAGTAAAGGGCATGGGGATGAACCACTCGGGATAGTGGAAGAGCATCTGCTTTATTGCATGTAAACAACTACTTACCTAGTGGAAGCCTACTGACTGTGATTGGCCAGCACATTACCTCAGACTGGACAATGTGTGCTCACGACACCAGGGTCTCTATATGGAAGAAACACATAAAAGGAGACATGGAGAGTGCAGACTCAGCAGCATGTCAGCTACTGACGACTCACACGACCTTGAAATTGATGTTCTGGCTTCTGTGAATACTCAGGAGCATGGTGTGCCATGGTAGGCTGGCCACCAGGTCGTGCCTGCATTGTCTCCTACACACATCCACCAAGAGGTAGGTAGGGGTGTGTGTGTGTGTGTGTGTGTGTGTGTGTGTGTGTGTGTGTGTGTGTTGAAAGAAGGAGAGGGGCAGTGTCGGGTAGGAAGAGGCCTAAAGGGAGAGGAGTACAAGGGAGAGTAGTGGGCTATATATCACTAAAGTAGAAAGGGGCATTATTTGGAGAGAACGAGATAGAGAGGGAGACAGGATTGGAGGCGGTTTGGGCATGAATAGGAACAATACATATTGGAAAGAATGGGCTTAGTGGGAATAAGAATGGGCTGCAGAGCAATGAGGGTAAATATGATTACATTATGTACACGCATGAAATTGCCCTAATGAAACTTATTATGTGTAATTGATATGCTAATAAAATATTTCAAATGTATAATGATATGTATATATATTTACTAAAATGTGAAGATGAAACCTGTTTCTTTGTATGCTAACCAAAAAGTAAAAAACAAAAATTCCCACTAAGAGTTTAAAAATAAAGTCATATTTTCTAGACAGAAAATATTTTTAAAAAGAGTGCTTGCTGGGCAGGCAAGATAGCTAAGTGAGTAAATATACTTAATCAGTCCCCATATGGCAGGAGAAAAGGACCTACTCCCAGAAGGTTCTCGAAACCTCTATGTGTGGCCATGATGCAAATACATGTACCCATGCACAAACACTAAATGTTTGAAATATCCTTTAAAAAATAAAAGAAGAAGCCATTAGGGGCTGGAGAGATAGCTCAGCAGTTAAGAGCACTGAGCACTGACTGTTCTTCCAGAGGATCAGGTTCAATTCCCAGTACCCACATGGTAGCTCACAACTATATGTGTAACCCCAGTTCCAGGAAATCTGACACCTTCACACCAATGCAAATAAAATAAATATATTAAAAAAGAAGCCAGTCATAAATGGGCCCATATTATACATGTATATGAAATATCCAGAATAGGTAAATCCACAGAAACATAGAGTAAATCAAAAGTTTCTCAGGATGAGGAAAGGGAACAGGAAACAGTTGGTAATGAGTACAGGGAAATGTTAAAATTAGATGTCCAACTGTGTGCACACATCTCTTAATGTTAGGCATGAACTTTAAGCTTTAAGTGGGTGAATTATATCTCAATGAAATTATTTTTATAGGCATAATTCAATTTCAGTTTTGGAAAGGTCACCCTGGCAGTTATATGGGAAAAAGTCTGAGAAGTATTTTAAAACACATGAACACAGAGGGGGCCAGTGAGGAGGTTACCCTAAAGGTCAAGGTATCTGTTGACAGATTGAACCACAGAGGGGTACAAGGAGGGAACTATTTGAAAACTTGGAGCCTGCTTGGCTCCTGAGAATGGGTGCATTATGAAGCCAGCCGAGTTCCTGGGTGGGCATGAGGCTTCATTCCTTACACTGGAGAACACAAGGAGACCAAGTTTGTTTTGGTGAAAGGGCAGTGTGGGGCTGAGACTGAGATTCTAAGTTTTGATGGATGGCCAAAGGAGGACAAGCACCATGGGAAGTGCTGGAGAAAAGCCAAGACATGTCAGGAGAAAGCAAGGGAGGCCTCCCAAAGAAAAGCAGTGCCTCGAGCACAGAGCTAACTTGAAGGCGACAGAAGCCAACTTCAAATCATGGATCCATTGATTTAGTGTCCCAGGGGCTCCATGGAAGAGCTGTCTCCTTAGAGAGACGGGGCCAGAAGCCACCCACACTGTCATGGAGTGAAGACTGAGGTCAAGAGACAGAGGTGAGGCCTTTGAGTCAGATTCCACAAACACACCCAGAATTCATCTGGGGTCCTCAAGAGTGGACCAGCAAAGCAAGGAGGGACTGCAACCAAGGAAATACCTCATCCTACGAAAGGCCCTAGAATCAAGTCGGATGCACATTAGCTTAGTTGACTTAAAAATTGATAAATTCAGGTCACTCAGCTAATTATGTGACCAGCCTCCCACCAGCTTGCTGGAGACAACACCTCTGACATGAATTATAACTGTTACCTAGGTTACCTGACAGAAACTTGTAGACCACTTTTGCTAAGAGTTCCTCTCTAAAGCTGACAAACGTCTGATGGATGAGTGAAATGGGGTCCAAGGCAAGGCCTCTTATCTTCCTTTCTTTTTAAATTTTTATTAAATGTTTTTCATTTATTTTACATCCCAACCACAACATCCCCTCCCCCCCCATGCCTCCCCATACCTCCCCTCTACTCCCGCTCCTCCAACTCTGTTCAGAAAGGGGCTGGCTTCCCATGGGTGCCAACAAAGCATGTCCTGTCAAGTTGAGGTAGACTAAGCTCCTCCCCTTGTATTAAGGCTGGGCAAGGCAACCCAGTATGAGGATTAGGTTCCCAAAAGCTAGCCAAAATGTTAGGGATAACCCCAGTTCCTACTGTCAGGATTTCCACAAGCAGACCAAGTCACACAACCATCACACATATGCAGAGGGCCTAGGCTTATCCCACTCAGGCTCCCTATTCATCAAGTCCACAGTCTGTGAGCTTCCATGAGCAGGCCAGTTGCTTCTGTGGGTTCCCTTGTGATGATCCTGACTCCCCTGGCTCATACAATCTGCCCTCTCTCTCAACAGGATTCCCCAGGTTTGGCCCGGTGCTTAGCTGTGTTATCTCTGCATCCATTTCCATCAGCTACTGGACAAAGGCTCGCCAATGAGTTGGGTTAGTTATCAATCTGATTACAGGAGATGGCCAGTTCAGGTACCTCTCCACTATTGCTAGGAGTGTTAGCTGGGGTCATCCTTGCACATTCATGGGAGATTCCCTTGCATCAGGTTTCTATCTGACCCTGAAATGCTCCCCCTATCAAAACATCTTTCAGTACTTTCCACTTCCATCCACCCCTCAACCCAATCCTTCATGCTCCCATCCTTACCCACCCCCAGTCTACCCAGGAGATATCTTCTGTTTGCTCTTCCCAGGGAAATCCATACGTCCCCCTTTGGGTCCTCAGTCTCTCTGGGATCATACCATGGTTATTCTTTACTTTACAGCCAATATCCACTTATGAATGAGTACATACCATGTTTGTCTTTGAGTCTTTGTTACCTCACTCGGGGTTTTTTTTTTCTAGTTCCATCCATTTGCCTGCAAATTTCATGATGTCATTGTTTTTTACAGCTGAGTAATTCTCCACTTATGAAAGTATCACATTTTCAGTTGAGGGGCATCTATGTTGTTTTCAGGTTCTGGCTATTATAAATAATGCTGTTATGAACATAGTTGAACAAGTGTATGTTGTATGATAGAGCATTCTGTGGGTATGTGCCCAAGATTGGTATAGCTGGGTCTTGAGGTAGAATGATTCCCAATTTTCTAAGAAACTACCATACTGACTTCCAAAGTGGTTGTACAAATTTGCACACTGACATTGAAGGAGTGTTCCATTTGCTCCACATCTCACCAGCATAAGCTGTCATTAGTGTTTTGGATATTAGCCACTCTAACAAGTATAAGATGAATATCAATCATTTTAATTTGCATTTCCCAGAAAGCTAAGGATGTCAAACAATTCTTTAAGTGTATCTCGGCCATTTGAGATTCTTCTGTTGAGAATTCCGTTTAGATCTGTACCCCATTTTTTAATTGGATTATTTGGCTTTTTGATGTCTAGTTTCTTAAATTCTTTACATATTTTGGAGATCAATCCTCTGCCAGATGTAAGGCTGGTGAAGATCTTTTCCCATTTTGTAGGCTGCTGTTTTGTTTGACAGTGTCCCATTTATTGTGGATCTCAGTGTCTGCACGACACCCTTCATAATAGCCACAAATAAAATACGGTGACTCTAACCTGTTATCATTCTACATGTTGTATCTGTCCCCTTTGTCTTCCTGATCAGATTTTACTTGGCTCAGATTTTACTCAGCTTAATAGGCATATTGATCATCTTTAAAAAATGTTTTATAGAAGAATATAGAACAGGGTGAACTTGGCCTAGTGCCCTTTGAAGCTGCCATATTTCTTCCTATAATTGTATTGTTTCTTTCAACTGCCTTTTCCCTACTCAACAAGTAATGAAAGCAACAAAACCCTAAAATCTGTAAATGTGAAAAAAGTAGAGAAATCTTTGTCCTGTAATACATCCTCAGTGAACAGCAAAGTCCAAACTGGAGGAGATGGCCAATGTGGGGAGATCTACCCTTCACTGAATATAAAAGAATTCACAGCAAGAAGAAACTGTGAAAGCATGAGGAAAGCTGTAACTGTGGACTGACCCCTTTCAATCTGAGGAAACGTCCAGAAAGAAAATCTGTTCATACACATTTGTAACACCCACAGAGCCATACTAGAGAGGAAGTTTCTATGAAGGCCATCCTTGAGGTTGTCTTCAATCTGGGATCATGGTTTTTTTTTTTATTTCTTTTTTTTTTTATTTTAAATAGCTTGCTTCACATGTCAATCCCAGCTCCCTCTCCCTCCCCTCCTCCCACACACAGCCCCCACCATCCCCCCAAAGCCCCCCACCCAATCGCCACTTCCTTCCACATAGGGGCTATCTAGAGTCTGTCATTTCACTCAGGGCAGGGTCCAGGCACTCCCCTAAGAGTCCAGGCTGAGAGAGCATCCCTCTTTGTGTTATAGACACATGGTGTCTGTTTGTATTCCATGGATAAACACTGATCCACTGCCCAGGGCCCCATAGGTTGCCCAGGCCTCCTCACTGACTCTCACACTCAGGGGGTCCGGATCAGTCCCATGCTGGCCTCCCAGCTATTGGTCTGGGGTCCAAGAGCTCTCCCCTGTTCAGATCAGCTGTCTCTGCTGGTTTTGCCAGCCCATTCTTTGCCAATTTGCTCATTGCTCCTCTCTCTCAGTGGGATCATGTTTTTATTTGATAGCAAAATCCACACTGGGAGGAAACCTCTTCACAAGAAACTTGAGAACTGACAGGAAAAGGAATCACCAAGAGGAGATCCTGCCTCTGAGTGAGTCTTGATATCATTCCCAAGGTGTCACTAGGTAAGAACACTAGATGGAGGGCTAGTTGAAAAGCTCACACAACACTGAATGAAGTCCCATATGCACTATGTATTAACTCACTCACCAGTTCCATACACCATCTTGGAGGTCACACATGATGTTCAGGCACTGGCTTTGCTGAGGTAATTCTGAATGGGCAGGCCCTTAGTTTACATGTGGAAGGAAATAACAAAGAGGGGATGCGTTAGTAGAGGATGGAGTTAGGAAAGGAGTAGAGGGTGAACATGATAAAAACACATTGTATGGAATTCCTAAAGAATATGTATTTTAAAAAGGAATCTGGAACAGGACGTTTTTGTGACATATCAGAAGAAAACATCACTGAAACCAAGATATAGCTATAGAGATATATAAATATGTAGATAGGATGCATACACTCTGCTATTTTTAATATAGCATGTCTTCATCTTAGATGTCCCTCGTGGGTTTTGAAGGATTAGACTCCAGCTGATGGTACTACAGGGAGATAGAACTCTTCAGGATCTGGGGCTTAGTGGGAGGATGCTAGGCTGCTGCGGACATTTACCTGAAGGTGTGGGAAACCCCTTCCGTGTTTTCCTTCCTGACCACCACAGGGCAATATCATGCTGCCTCACCACAGCATCAGACACAACAAAGTCAACTGATCATGAGCTGAAACTTCAAAAACTGTGAGCCAAAGCAAACTTTGTCTCAACTTAACTTTCAAAGGTAATTTGTCAGAGCAATGAAAGCTAACATAGAATCTTTGTATGTCAATATTACCTTATGCTAAAATCATTTACGAATTTGTTTTAAGTTGTGTTTTAAAATAACATTCTGGCCGGGCATTGGTGGTGCACGCCTTTAATACCAGCACTCAGGAGGCACAGGCAGGTGGATCTCTGAATTCGAGGTCAGCCCGGTCTACAGAGCGAGTTCCAGGACAGCCTCCAAAACAATACAGAGAAACCCTGCCTCAAAAAACCAAAATAATAATAATAATATCCTGAGTAGAGTTATTGAAAGTCAGACACAGGTTTTCTGTGATGCAAGTAACAAGTAAAACATACTGAAGCTCCCAGATACAAGAGAGTACTGGGTTATTAGAGGAAAACATAAAAAAATACTTTTATAAAATACTTTTATAAGTGTTAGGTTGGGGCTGCTAAGAGAACTGGCTGCTCCTCCAGAGGACTTAGGTTCAATTCCCAACATCTTCATCATGACTCACAACCATTTATTAGCTCCCGTTCCAGGGTATTCAATGCCCTTTTCTGGCATCTGTGAGCACTGTACTCACTATATGGTACACATACATGTATGCAGAAAAAGCACCTATACACATAAAAAAATTTTTAACTTAAAAGCATAAGTTACTATCAAATTACATTTTTAAGCAATGCTGAAAAATGACAAACTTTTTGAAACATTGCAAACGTCGATGAAAGCGCACAAACTCAGTTTCAGATAACAGTTACCACTTTACGCTCTGCTGTAGAGTCAGCAAAACATGTTAAGTTGCACCACCACAAAAACAAACAACAAAAACCTCCCAGACAGGCTGAGTGTGAGCATGAGGAGGGGTGGTCACTAGGACATGTGCTAGAGACAGTTACTTACTGATGTTCCGTTATTCCACGTTTAGCTTATTTCTAGAAAACAGTAAAAGATGGCTCTGAACCATTCTGTTTAGGACCCACGCTATTTACGCATGTACATATTCAAAGAGCTTACTCTGAAATTCCTTAGGTTTTGTCCTAAATAAACAGTAATAAATAATCCATGGGCTTTATTTGGTTAGTTTGTGTTTAGGAGACAGGGTCTCATGTCATTTTTGATTTTTGGGTTTTTTTTTTTTAGATTTTTTTAAGATTTTGTTTTTTTAAGATTTCTTTTTCTTCTTGAAACAAAAAAAATTGAAGGATTTTTCAGGTCACCTTGACTGTGCTAGATAATGGGTCATTATCATGTTCTACTGTGGCATTTGAGACTTGCCCTCTGATGCCTTAGAACTAAACATAATTCTAAACTTAACCAGCTTTGCTGTTGAGAGAAATCAGCCATTGCTCTGACCTGATGGGACACGAGCTCTTAATCTGACATTTCAAGTTGTACTTATCAGTGTCTTGAAAAATAAATGAATAAAAATCCTTTGATGGGGGCCCAGCATTGAGAGCATGCACCACCCTTGCAGAGGGGCTGGAATTGGCTTCCCATTACCCATATCAGGCAGCTCACAACAGACTGTAACTCCAGCTTCACAGGATTTGTCTCCTTCTCACTTCTTCCGTCAACTGCACTCACACACAAGCCACACCCCCATCCCCATCCATATAAAGATTAATCTTTTGCCTCATCATTCTAACACAATGATTCTGAAGGCAAGACATCAGACACAAATGCTCCCTACCCACCATGGGCTGATTATCAGCTCAAAACATTCTGATACTGAGCTCTATTTACTTCTTTCCACGCTTTTCCTTCTTTGGAAAGTTTTCTCAAACATGAATTAAATTTCAACAAAGAAAACAGTATTCTAAACACAATATACGAAAACACCAAGTCCTGTACTGGGATGTCCCCAAATCAGTTTGTGGTGTGCAGGAAACTCCAAGGCCCTGGCTTTTCTCACCATTGTATCCTACCCCACCGCTAACACACAGATAAACCTCACAAACACAGATCTTTTTTGTCCTCTATATCCTCTTTTCCTTTTGATGCCTGAAGTAACTGAGATCAAGGAAAATGTTTGGCTGAGTATGGTGCTGTGCACTACTTTAATCCCAGCAGTTGAGAAGCAGAGGCAAGAGGATCTCTGAGTTCCAGACCATCCTGGTCTATGTGACAAGACCCTGTCAAAAGGGGGAGACAGAGGGGGACAGAGAGGGAGGAAGGGGGGGACAGAGACAGAGATGAGAAGGGGGAGGGAAATTTAAAGAGAGGAGGAAAGACAGTCTGACAAATACACTGCCCCACATGAGTTTCAATCCAAGCTAGTGTAACCCAACTTATGCAATAGAACTTTTCACTAGAAATGATGCAGATAAGCAGTGTTCACAAACAGGCTAAACTGTCATGTTCTAATATGAAATGCTATGGTTGTCAGGAAAGGTGATTTTTAGCAAGCCACCACCACTGAAATATCTGTCTACCTATCTCTACACCTCTTGCACTCTCTCTCTCAAGAATGCGCACTACTATTAAAACAATTATAACTTTAAAAAACAAAAAGAACAATAGTATGTTAAAAAGTAGGTGAGTTTAAACAGATAACCTGAGGCTAATAAACAGGAAGTTTCTATCCTTTATTTTTGTCTTTTTTTTTCCTCTGTGAGAAAGGCTCTCACTGTGTAACTGTGGCTGACCTGGAACTCTCTATGTAGTCCAGGTTGGCCACAAGCAGATCTGCCTGCCTCTGCCTCCAAGTGCTGGGATTACAGGTGTGTGCTGCCAGCGCTAGCACATAGCTCTATCCTTTATTTGTAAGATCCCACTGTTACTCAGACTGTGCCCATGTACCTTTGTGTGAGTCTGAGAAGCTCAGGACAAGCACTGAACGCGCTGATGTAAGCTACTGGTGCTGCACTTGCTGTGTCAGCTTTGTACCGAACTCCAAGGCTCTCTTGCTACTTCATCTCAGGCAGTGCCAACCCAACCGTTTCCCCAGTAGAAAACGTAAGTATATAAAAAACAACAACATCAAGCATGTATTGCAAAGTCTCAATTTCTTAAAACATAAGTCTGAGTATATTTATTTCTTTCAAATGCATACAAGACAATAATTACACAGCAACAAATCTTTTGTTCAACAGTGACTTGATTCATAAGCATTTAAAATTTACATAATTTCACATTGATACCCTTGTTTTTAAATACAAGTAAAAAAGCCCCCAAATAACCAATTTTTATATTTCCTATTTATCCTTCTATACATCCAAACTTTAAAAAGTTACAAACTGAACAATTATACAGAACATATAAATCATGTTTAAAAACTTGAGGTTTTAAAATCACTGCTTCCCCAGTATGATTCAGAAAAATTCTCCTATTGACAAACTCAGTCACAGATGCCAAAGCAAACTGGAGGAGGGGGAAGAAACAGACAGACACAAGTTTGCTGTCTTAATATTTTACTAATCCTGTCAGTTAAAAATGGTGATGTAGTGAGAAGTAACATCTGGGGTTTAATATGAGGAATGGAGTTTGCCTCGGCCTGAGACACACATTTCAAGTATTTTCCTATTTGATCTGAGCTCACTTTAACAAACCGATGCCAAAACTAATTACTTCCTCCCATACATCCGCTCAATGTCTGCCTGGTAATGTGTTTTAAGCTCTTTACGTTTCAACTTGAAGGCATCCGTCACCAGACCAGTTTCAGGAGTCCATGGGTCAGCGCTCAAACGGATTTTCACTGGAATTTCAAACTTTTCCAGACTCGCTGAGATGATGAAGGCAAAAGAAAACACAACAGTAAGAACCCACACTCATTAGAAATGCAGTCAAAGTTCTCAGCAAACAGCACAGTTCTTGGAGACATACCTACCAAATACCCAAAGCAACAGGCAACCTCTCAGTGTCAGTCTCACTACGGAGCCTCAGACAGACACAATTTTGAAACATATGAGAGCTATAATAACAAAAACCACTAAACAAATTAATTTACCCATAGGAGAATAAATTAAATAAATGACATAGGTATAAAATGGAAGGCAGTTCCGTCATTAAAATAACTGCATTCATGTGGGTACCCAACCCATTATTGAGCTTGAAAGGTGCAGCATGTAGCACTAACTAGACAAAAGCGCATACAGACTCGCTGGACAGGGACACACCACATTACACCACGCACCTCCAGGGCTGGGACCAAGGAGAAAGGAAAATGGAAATTTCCCCTTCTAAGAGTAGAGATAGGTGATATAAATTGACTATGGTAACAGTTGTGCAAGCTGCTGAATATAAAAACCATGTTAATTACACACATTAAATGGGCAAGCTGTATGGTATGTTCACTGCATTGCATTAAACTTTTTACGTGTAAAAATAAGTAAGCAGTATCTGGGTTTTTTTATTAGCTTTCATTTGTGTGTGTCTGTGCATGAATAAGTGCATGTGAGTACAAGTCCCTATACCAGAAAAACATGCCAGATGCATATGTTTAATGAATATTCATTAATAGTAGCATTAATATTAGATATATGCTAAATCAATTTAGCATTAGTCAAAGTTTTAAGTTACTAAAAAATGTTACAAATTATTTTCAAGTTCATTAATTCTAAAACAATCAGAGTTGAAATAATGGCCCAAAATAATTACCACATTTGGAAAATGCAAATTAAAATTTTTTACAATCATATTTAAAACTGAAATGCAATGCTTGTTATTATATTTAGTATTTCACTTAGACACAGACACACATTACTGATCAAACAATATCAGTCTTTGACAGAAAGAAAAGAAGCCTTCAGGCAGCTGTGAACACTTGCCAAGAGCAGGAGCCACTCTCCAGTGGGGTAGCCACTAGTAAGATGCTCCTGCTCCTACAAGAGCCCTTCATCCATGCTCCTATAAAAGTTGCCCTAATTACCTCACCCAGAATACAAAAGGAAAGAAAGAAGAAGAGGAACTAGCTAGGAAGAGGAGGAATCGAAAGACAGTATTACAGGAATAGAGCCAAAATACATCATATGAAAATGTTGTGAGACCTGTTATAACATACAATTAACATAAACTAATACAAATCTTTAAAATACAAAAAAAGGATATAGAAGATATATCCTATAGCGTACTAGTGACCTTTTCCAAGGACTACCATGCCCTGGAAACAGCAGGGCTCTGGAGAACAGCAGAGGCAAGCAAAAAAAAAAAAAAAAGGCGAACACAAAGGCTAAATAAAAGGATAAGAAAAGCCAAGAGACTACAAATCCCAGCTTGGTACTAGAACTACCTAGACAATGGGCCTCTGAGAATGCCTATGGTAGATTATCCTGATTAGGTTAACTCAATAGGGAAGACCTGCCCATTCTGAGAGGTACCGTTACCTAGGTAGCATAAAAAGGATGAAAACTAGTGAAAACCAAACTGACCTCTCTCTGCTTCCTGAATATGGATGCAATGTACCCAATTTCTTCAAGCTTTCTGCCATCATGATCTCCCTATCACAATGAATTGTGAGCCAAAACAGACATTTCCTTAAGTTGCTTTTAGCAGGGCATTTTATTACAGAAACAGGAAAAGAACTAAGACACTGATAAATTCCATATTACATAACTATTATTATAATAGTGCCATATGTGCATTTTAAAAGAAAATTATAAATTTTTGAAATTTATTTTTAAAAATCAGATTAGAGCCAGGCAGTAACAGCATTCGACTTTAATCTTAACACCTGGGAGGCAGAGGTAGGCAGATCTCTGAGGCCAGCCTGGACTACAGAGCAAGTTCCAGGATAGCCAGGGCTACACAAAGAAACCCTGTCTCAAAAAAAAAAAAAATAATAAATCAGTTTAGTAGGAGCAAATATTTGAATGTCCCCTAAAGAGCCTAAATAATGGTGGAAACAGTTTCCAGGAAGCAAAGGCTACATTATAGCCCTTATAGCATAACAGGTTAAATAAATGCATATTTTTTTCACATCTCAATTCTAAGAATAAGTTTACCAGAACACTCACCTGAAATAGCAGCTTCAGAAAGCACTTTAAGGACTTCATTTTCCATTTCACTGCTGTTACACAGCTCTTCCCAAGTCCCCTTAAATCCTTTCATTCTAGCTAGCTCTGTGAGTTCCTTTTGATTTGGTACAACAAATCCAATTACGTAAGAATGGTAACTGAAATGCAGAAAGGCTAACTTAGAAAGGACCAAAATAGCACGCACCATGCTTACTAATGTAACCAATTACCTTGGCACTCTATAACCAACTCTTTATTATTGGAAAAACTAGGAACATACATAAAAATCATCATCATACTTACCTCATGCAATGCCTCTTACCACTTAGTACATTTGAAAGCTCTGACAGAGTTCACTGCAAGCAAACCTCATAAAGTCTAAGTGTGCCTAACTACTATAAGTAGTAATATAATGTACACATTTTTTAAAGAAAAATTACATTTTTCCCAGTTATTTGAAATGATCAGTACATTCTTGGAAACAAGGTAAAAAAGGCAAAACCTGTAAATTATGTTTCTGAAGAAATGTAGCAGCAGGTCAAAATCTTGTGATGAACAGGTATGGTGGCACACACCTTTTATCCCAGTGCTTCAGAGGAAGAAGCAGGTAGATCTCCAAGTTCGAGGCCTACCTGGTCTACAGAGTAAGTTCAGAGCAACCAGTGCTACACTGAGAGACCCTGGGGAGGGAGGGAGACGCGATAGCGCTCATTTTCTTCTGATGAAGAATTTGTATCACCAAAGGAATAGTATGCACAATGACAGGTACTGTTTTGAAAAATACAAAACTGTATGCTTTATGGGCAGAAAGCCTGTGAACCCTGAACTAGAGAGGCTAAGGCAGAAGGACTGCCATGAATTCAAGGCCAGCCTAAACCCGAAGAAATAGCAGACCATTAAGAAAGGAACATTTGGAATTTCTTTCTTTTTTTTGGGGGGGGCTGTTTGAGACAGGGTTTATTTGTATAGCTGTCCTGAAACCCACTTTGTAGATCAGGCTAGCCTGGAATTCAGGGATCCGCTTGCCTCTATCTCCCTAGTGCTGGGATTAAAGTGTATGCTGCCACCACTACCACCAGGTTTGGAGTTATTCTTAAATAAATAAATCCAGTTCACTAGCTGTAAAGCGTAGGTGGCAGGCCCATAAGTCAGAAGAGTCCGAGGATGATTTCACAGTGGTCCATATGGGCTGCAACTGCTCATGGCATACCCATCAACTTCTACACACTCTGCACAGACTCCTCGTGCTTACCTGTTTGCATACGCACAGATGTTATCTATCAGTGGGAGGTTCTTCAAAGCTGCCTCTACTTTCCCAAGAGAAACATACTCTCCTGCCTGCAGTTTCACAAGGTCCTTCTTACGATCTGCACAGAACAAAGGCAGAAGCATTGAGAACAGTAGTTAACACCTTAAGCACATAGAAATACTGCACCAAGTTATTTAAAACTTTTCTCCACTAAGCATTGATGACTGTCCTAAAGTTGAGATTATATAATAAAATCAGACCCTATAAAATCAGATCCTAATTTTCTACAATTAAATAAAATTTTTAGTGGAAAAAGTTTTACTTAAGGAACATCATCCTCAGAAATTCAATATATTCTACTGAGTTGATATGTTCCTGGCACTCACTAGTACCCAGCAGGTAAAGCAGCTGTGCAAGGCAATGAGCAAACTAGAGAAAAGAGTAACAGAAAAACAACATCCACACAGCACAGCCAACCTATGGATTTGGAAGGAATTCCTCCAAGTGGGACCTGAGTTTTGATGACAAGAGTAAGAAGTATCCAGGTGGGACAGCACTGGCAAGGGCCATGTCAGTGAAAACACTAGAGCATAAAAGAGGAGGGAAACAATTTAAAAGAGGCAGGAGCGGAATGATGGCTGGGCAAAGAAACACCTTGAACTAAACTTCTAGCAGCCATTAAAGAGTTTTTTAGAGCAATGATGCTTCCCCATCACCTGATGGAAGTAAAAAGGTTTGGAGAGGTGCACAGAGGCAAAAAGGAAATCCTTATAAGAGGATGGCAACAGGTAGGGGTGTGGAAAGATGGGCAGAAAACATTTTGAGGCACATATCTATTAGTGGTACATGAAATAGGGATGCAGAGCTGATGTAAAGGAATTCCCTCTGGCCTTCATGGTATGACCAGCTATTGTGCAGCTATTTCCTACAAGATAAAATACTCAATAATACTTTCCACCCTGCAGGGAAGAGCCTCATGACTCAGACATTATGAAGGTAAGCTCACTTAGGAAATAACACAAAAGCTCTAGCACAGCAGTTCTCAACTTGTGGGTCATAACCCCTTGGAGTGGGGGATCAAATGACCCTTTCACAGCGGTTGCATAAGACATCAGAAAACAGGGGGGAAGGGGAGTGCGGGAGGAGGGGAGGGAGAGGGAACTGGGACTGACATGTAAAACAAGCTATTTAAAATTAAAATAAAAAACGATAATAAAAAATAAATAAATAAAAGACATCAGAAAACATAGATATTTACATTACGATTCATAACAGTAGCAAAATTAGAGCAGCAATGAAATAATTTTATGTTTGGGGGTCACTACAACCTGAAGAGCCGTATTAAAGGGTCACAGCACTAGGAAGGTTGGGAACCACTGCTCTAGGAGTCCCTGATGCACTAGACTCCTTCTTCCTCAAGCTTATATAAGCAGTAAAGGCTATTAAGAGACACTCCCAGAGAAGCCAAGCTGCCCAGAAGACGCTCAGACCAGACCAACTGAGCTGCCAAGAGACCTCTTCAACTTGTCAATCTGCCAGGAAGCTCATGAACTGCAGCGTCTGTGAGCTCTCACATGCTGGGATAGACTTTTGGTGATGTGCTTGTCTTTGAGTCATTCCTGCTTTGATAAGTAATCTTTCACCTACTCACCCACTCCTTCCTCTAAGTCGAATAAAACTCCTCCATGCACTAAGTCAGACTTTGATGACAGGAGTACCTACAAACTACAGCAAATGACTGATACTAACTAACAATGACTACAAATCTGCAGCTGCACAGTCTTACAACCTTATTCATAAAATGTCAAGCTTTAAGAACACTTGGTCCCTCTTTAAAATGGTGTATTTTGGGGATGATATAAGAACCCTCTTCGCTATTAAACAGTTTCTCTAAACACAGGCACCTCTCTGTAAAGTCATTTGGGAAATACTTTCAAAAAAAAGGATTCAAGGGCTGAAGAGAAGGCTCCACTTTTAAGATCATGTACTGCTCTGGCAGAGGGCATGGGTTCAGTTCCCAGCACCCACATGGTGGCTCACAACTATCTGTAACTCCAGTTCCAGAGGAGGATTTGACACCCTCTCCCAACCTCAATGGATATCATGTACACATGTAGTGCACATACATACATGCAGGCAAACAGCTGTACACATAAGATAATCAAAAAAGAAAGAAAGGGCTAAATGGCTCACCAATAATCTTCAGACAACCATCAGGGTCAAATTCTCCAATATCTCCCGTGCAGAGCCACCGCTGTCCATTTTCATCTTCAAAGAAATCAGTATTTGTTTTTGCTTCATTTTTATAGTACCCCATTGTCACATTTTGGCCACCAATAAGAATTTCACCTCTGGGATGTGGTTTGTCAGTATTAAAATAGCCACCTAATAAACACAAAATAAACCATATAAGTATTACATAAAAATCCAAAACTATTAGTTTCTAAGTATAGATCTTACTTCAACCAAGTAGAGTCCCCAAAGGAAATGAAGTAGACACTGTGGCTAAGCAGTGGCTAAGCCAGAGACAACTTTCAGTTATTCGATAGAACATCCATGCTTTTAAGCTACTATTCCAAGAAAAAAATACATTCTAAACTCCAGCATCCTCCACCTATTATACAAAATAATGACAAAGTTTCTACCGGTCTATATATCATACTAGCAAAACTTTTATAGAATTATAGTATTTTTTTAAACAAACTTTGTTTGAAGCCCTCAGAAAAAAAGCAAAAATATAAAAATCCACATGGAATAAATGTGATTTTTTTCTTCTACACGGTGAAATTATGACCACTCTTTATTCTCCTCCTTCCCCTGTTCCTCCACCGTGTGCGTGTGCGTGTGCGTGTGTGTGTGTGTGTGTGTGTAAGCACACAATATGCACCTATGCATGCACACAATAACTATAGCATGTGTGTAATGGTCAGAAAACTTTGTCAGTAATTCCATTTTACAGCATTGTGGGTTCTAAGGATTGACCTCCGATCTTGAGGATCAGAGACAAGTGCCTTTAATGGATGAATCATCTTTGTAGGCCCTCCTAACTTAGTAACATTATTCACTTAGTGTATTTCTCAAATTGCTATCATTTTTACTTTACATAATATATTTAATAAAATGAGAAGCAAGAGACTAGGAAGACTGTTCAATTGTTGTCCAAGTAGAAGATGTGAGGTCAACTACCAAAACTCATTTTTTTTAAGTCACATATACTTGTAATTTCAGCACTCAGGAGGTAGAGAGAGATTCCTGGCGCTCACTGGCCAGCCAGCCTAACCAACCCACAGTCTTAGTTTCAGAAAAAAGGAAGACATGGCTCCTGAGGAATGACACCCAAGATTGATATCTAGCCTCCACATACATAAACATACACCCACTCCCCCCCACACACATATATATACATATATATACATATATATACATATATATATATAATAGCAAGCAAAATAAAAATAATTCTATTCTTCAGAATCAATTCTGAAGCAGGCAAACTAAGTACATTTGTTCAGCTCTAGATAAAACACAGGTAATCAACAAAATGTACACCTAGAATTTTACAATCTAAAATATGCAATAAAAGCAAGAAGAGCACATTTCTCATTTCGATCTTATAACATTAAGGTTCTGTGACTAAAATAAGTTGTTACCTTCCTCCCAGTTCTTTAATTTGATTTCACAGCAAACTAATGGTGCCCCCACTCTGCCAGTATTGTAGTCCCACACTAAAAGGCAAAGGAAGAAAAAGTGATTTAAAATGACGATTATTCTAACCCTTAGATAGCCGCCCCATCCCCAAAAGAATCCTTGCCAACAGTAGAGAGATACAGGATTCTCAGTACACTGCTTGGTCAGAGAATGTTTTTAAGACCTGAATTATTACTGAAACTGATTTTGTTATGTTTATGAAGCAAAGTTTGGGGTTTATTAAAGGCATTTTGAACAGACTTTAAGCAAAAGAGAGGCCCTCAGGAAATAAAACATACCCAGGTACATGGGAATAACCTTCTCTTAGAGAGACACCTGTTACAACCACTGGAAAAGAAGTTTTAGATGGTTTGGAGTCCACGCTAGCAACTGAGGGTCTGTGAAGTCAGGTACACCTCCTCTAACTCCCCAGAATCTCTGCCCCTCACACATCCTCAGGACACAGCCCACTCACGTAAGTGGATGCGTCGTTCATAAGCAGATAGCCCCTACCTTACAGGACAGTGCAGCACAGCAGCTGACACACAGTCTACTTCCTTGTTGGGTCTTAAGAATACTGTAGTGCTGACAACGTCGCCTATGTCATTATTTCAAGGCTGTTACACCTTTCACATTCACCTTCAGCTATCATACCCTACTTAAGGTTCAAACAGCTTAGAGCCAAAAGAAAACTGATCGCTCCCAGAATCTAGGAGCAGGACCCCAGAATGATGGGTTACTAGTACGCTGTGATTCTTCCTCAAAGATCACATGACATGAAGTCTTATTTATGCCACATGGCGTAGCTTACACCTACAGTCTCATCACTTGAGGAGACTAAGATAAAAAAATTGCTATGAAACTAAGCCAGCCTGGGCTACTAAGTGGGAGCCTAGCTGAAAGAAAAATAAAGATTCAAAGAAGCATATACATGCATTTGCAATTGTTTCCTTGCAAACACAATTTACAAATAACTTTCAAAACACAGGCACCTTTCAAGGAGCAGGAAGATGAAGAAGTAATACAAAATTAGTAGAGTAGCATATTGAAGCACTCTCGACAAACCCAAGAAATGTTCAGCTGACAGGTTTAGTGTCTGCGTATCTAGAAAATCAGTAGAAGGATCAGTTTTTCCAGTACTGTGATGCAAAGCAGGTCTTCTACGAAAGGGATGCACAGAGCTCACTGGTTCCCCCTGAAGCACTGATGGAAGTGGGTCCCTCCACGCCACCGCCACGTACCACCTCACTGGGGTCACAATGTCTACCTATATATGTGTTTCTCTCTACACATATATAATCCCATAAACACTAAATCTGAGCTTTGGTGCCTAAACAACTAGAAAAAAAAACAACACTAGTCTTTTAACTTCTGGGAAAAAATAAAAAGTGCAAAACAACGCTTCTTGCAAAACTTCTTTCCCAAATATTCAGTTTTTAACATCATTTAAAGCCTAGAAACATTGACTACTCCTGTATTTTTACAAAGTAATTCATACCAAATTGGGGGGAGGGGTTGGCTACGCTAGCCCCAGCCTCTGACAGACACAAAGGGGACATCTCAGATGACAGCACCTACTTTCTGTAATTGTTCCAGCCCCAGTTGATTCCGTGAGTCCATACCCCTGACCAACCGAACAGCAGAAACAGATATTCATGAATCTCTGTGTTGTTGCAGAAAGTGGAGCACCACCACACAACAAAAGGCGAATATTTCCACCCAGCAGCCTTCGAACATTCCGGAAAACAAAACTAAAAATATCAATAGAAAAGCAGAGTGGTAGTTTGAAAATTGGCCACACAGGCTCATATACTTGAAAGTTTACTTCCCAGTTGTTAGCGCTATTTAGGAAGGACTAGTAGCTGTGCTCTTTTTGAAGGAGGGGTGACACTATGAGTAGGCTCTGAGGTCTCAAAAACCAGCACCATTCCCAGTTGGCTCCTCTACCTGCTGCTTCGGATTAGGATGTAGGCTCTCAGCTACTGTTCCAGCAAGCGGGTGCCTGCCTGCCACCATGTCCCTTGCCATGATGGCCATGGAGTAAACCTCTAAAACTATAAGCAAGCCCCCAATTAAATGCTTCCTTTTATAAACTGCCTTGGTCGTGGTGCCTCTTGACATCAATATAAAAGTAACTAAGCCAGCAAAATGGGATTTTCCAAATCTTTAATCTCTCAGTTTTGTTATATGGAGCTTTTGGAATTAATTAGCATAAAAGTGATACAGCCATTTCAGGAGATTATCTTGAGCCACTCTTTCTGTCTTAAGTGTCTGCGGTACAACTAGCAAAGAAAAATGTCATTTCCTCTCAGTTATTTTCATATAATATTCAAATATAAAATCAGCTTATTTAATTGTTTATAGTACTATACCTTTTTATGATCAGAGAATGTATTATAAATGCATACTATATGCCACATATTCAAGTAATTTATTAAAAGCAAAATAATTTTCTGCTTGCATTTATTCATTAGAAATTTATGCATATTTTATATACAGCAATCTCTTAAAAATATCTAATTCAAGCTTTGAGATGTTTATTATGGTTTTGAAAATATGGCAAATTATCTGAGAGAAATTTTAAAAAGAAAGTATTTCAAATATATACTTGATATGTTTCTGAAAAACACAAGTGCTTATAACTGAGTTATAAGCACTGCTTATAACTCAAGTAAAAGTCGAGGTGCAGGGCTGAGAATGTAGCTTTGTGGTGGCACTCGATTCCCGTGTAGCACACCCTGGGGTTAGTTTCCGAAGCTATGGAAATTGAATTTGTTAAACATTTTGAAAAGGATGAAGACTGTGTATCAATCATTCTAGAAGTTGTAAAGGCTAGATGTGGTGGCATACACCTTAAGGCTGATGCTTTGTCAACTGAGCTATCCATCTCTTAACCGTAGCACTCAGAAGGGAGACCCTATCTTCAAAAAGAAAAACATTTATTATACTTTCCGTTATCAACCTATACATATCGCCCTAAAATAGATAAAAGTTTTTAAAAAATAATGTAAAGCATCTGAAAACTGTGTTTATATTCCCATAAAAAATTAAACAAATAGCCAGATAGTGGTGGCAGACACCTTTAATCCCAGCACTCTGGAGTAAGAGGCAGGAGAATCTCTGTGAGTTTGAGGCCAGAGCAAGTTCCAGGACAGCCAGGGCACTTACACAGAAAAACCCTGTCTGTAAAAAACCAAAATAGAAATAAATAAATATGTAAGAACAAGATTAAGCACAGCAAAATAACTGAAATTTTCCAGTTCTTAGATAGGGTGGATTATTACAGTCCCTTTGACTTTTCAAATGAATTTCTTACTATACAGCCCAAAATGACCTGGAACTTGCTATGGTGCCCAGTCAGGCCTTGAACTTTTTTTTAAGATCATGTGTGGCCCCACACACAGAGGCCAGAAGGGGGCGCTGGTGTTCAGCTCGCACACTCTTCCAACACCCATCCTTTCTGAACCACTTCGGCAGTCCCCAGCCTTGGATGCTGGATCATCCCTTACTTCCCACGTGCAGGGATTTCATGCCTGTGCCACCACACCCATGGTAAACTAAATGCACTACTTATGCCTCACTTCCCTGGGCTGTTGACATGAACTGGCATTAACACAGAGAAGTGGCTTTACTCACCGGTCACACAGCGGAGTACTACACCCTTTTGAAATCTGCTCCATCTTGTAATTATAGGCCAAAATAAACAAGTTCCGTTGAAAACTACTCATTTCATTCACTTTATTCATGACATTTTTGTAGATCCGATCCATGATTTCCTGTACATATAAGTAAGTCCATTAATTATATGAACAATCTTCACTTTTAAGTCATACCCATATGATTAATACTTCTAATTATCACACATATGATGTAGGGAAGTTTTGAGTGCATGTGCCATGGTGCATATGTGGAGGTCAGAGGACAACTGCATGGAACTGAGTCTCTCCTTCCACCATTACATGTGTTCTAGAAACTGAACTCAAGTTCTCAGATTTGTATAACAAGTGCTTTACCCACTTAGCTACCTCACTGCCAAGACAATAAGTCATTTTAAAGAGAAAGTCTATCAGAACTTAAAAATTGTAAGTAGAGTCACAATTCGTTTTCAAGTGGCATCACCACTCCATCACCTGTGGCTGACAGAACATCTTGAATGTTTGATATTAACAGGCAATTCTTACCGGAACAGCTGCCATCAGTGTTGGCTTCAACATGGATGTGTCTCCTTTGCTTCCTTTTTTTATTTTTGAAGACTACAAAACATAAAATAGGTAACCTATATAAATATCTTTAACTTAAGCCAGATGGTAATCCTAGCACTCAGGAGACAGAGGCAGTTGAATCTTTGTGAGTTCAAGGTCAGTCTGATCTGGAGTGAGTTCTAGAACAACCAAGGTTATACAGAGAAAGCCTATCTTGAAAAAAAAAATCTTAATGGCTTTCTTAGCTCAAAAGCATATGATAAACTTATCCTTTCAATGTTTTTATATGCTTAACTTACCTGATCTGCTAAAGTCTGTGGTGAAGAGTAGCCAATTCGGCATCCATGAGAAACACACACAAGTTCGGCACTTAACTCTAGAACATGGGCCAGGGGTAAATATCCAATGTATACATCATCCTCTCTGAAAGAAATGACAGACAAAAGCAAGGGTCATCGGAGCTCTCTGCCACAGTGACTACAGCAGGCATCTAGACACACAGAGGAATAATTATGCATCCATAGAAGCTCCCTGTTGAAAGGGTACAGATGAAACAGAAACAAAATTACAGTTCCATCAAAAACAAAGAGAATGTGTTCTGTTACAGTACTAAGGCAAAGAGAAGATTGCTGGGCTTAGACGTCTTTCAACAACAGGATGTCACCGTAGGAGATGACTTTCAGAGTTTGTGAGCATCTACTGTGACTCTCATAGAACAGATGCATGCTCTAGGAGTTGAATCCAGTAATAAATTGTAACATATTCCTTAATATGCAAGAAAATATGTATATTTGCTTATTTTTCAAGAATTGGCCCAGCATCTACAGCATGAAGAGCAACAAAGGAAAGTCCAAAGGGAAAGTGCTGCTCAGGTTACCCAGCTCTGTTCCCAAACTCAGTCTCACAGCTAACCGCGTGTATCTAAACGTATGTGTGCCCTGTGCATAAAGGCAACAAAAATGGCAGTGCGGTGTACCAGCTCAGTCAGCATAATAATGACTTCATCTCTCAAGTTCTTAACTCCTCTCACCTCATCTGACTTCTGCTGCTGTTTTGTTGTTTTATTTGATTTTTGCCTACTCCACTACACTCTCCCCTCATGCCCCAAGAATACAACTTCAAAATCCCATTAGTTGACTAAGAACTTTCATAGACAATTGGGGATAACTTAGCCACCTACTAAAATGGCACAAGTGTTTGTGCTCTAACAGGTACAAATTTAAGTTACTCTATATTATACCGTGACATACCCCAGACTTGGAATCCTTCTCGCCATCCCAGTTATAGCAGCAATGATGTTGCTGTGGGAGATCATGACTCCCTTTGGAATTCCTGTGGACCCACTTGTATACATGATTACTGCAATGTCTGAGGGCAACGGTTTGCTGTGAGCTTTATTTTCTACATTGAAGAAAAGAAAAACATACTTCTGAGGAATTCAGCTACATCACCAATTTTCTTCTTGCTCATTTATATAATTCAACCAAAATACTCAAACAACAGTCAACACATAGGAGGCATAAACAATACTGGGACAAACAGGTTAAGTAAATAATATGATAAGAGCTATAAAGAAAAATAATGGCAAGGTGAGATAATAATAAATGCTGCTTATATATATCATTCTGAGAAAGTGTCTCTGAAGAGTAGTTTTAGCAAAAACCTAAATAAAGTCAGCAAAGTAGCCACAAAAGTCCCCGGGACCAGGAAGCCAGTATTGCAAGCAGAAGTAAAAGCAAGCAGAGGACATGGTAGCAGATGTCTGCAATCCCAGCACTCAAGACACTAAAATGAGATCTTGAGGTCAAAGCCAGCCTAGGCCACAAGGTAAGCTCTGGGCCATTTTAGAATGACCCTGTTCTGTTTCAAAAACATAAAATTAAGTAGTAGTAATAACACAATACAAAAGTCCTTAAAGTGGGAATATGGCTGGCATCTACAAAGACAAGGGATCTAGTGAGACTGGAGTGAACATAAGTAACAGTGGAGCAGCAACCAGGACCACAAGCAGCCTCAGACGGCACAGTGACAACTGCATCTTGTCACTCTGCAATCTAAAGAAGGGCAGTTTTCAACGGCAGCAGGCCATCATCTGTGGCAAAAAATGACTTTGGAGCTATGTAACTTTGGCTGCTGGATGACCACATAAAATGAAAACAGAATAAAGGAATTGAGAAGCCAAAACTTACTCTAGTAACTTAAGACATAAAAGTAGCTTGAGCTAAGACACTACAAATTTAATAAAACATTTTCTGCTGTATGAACTGACTTTGTTGGTTACACTCAACACGCTAGTGTTGCCTGTTTGTGGTCACAAGATTATGAGACTAAGGACAGCAGTCAACATGTTACAGAAAAGGCACAGGACACAAATAGATGACATTGCACCATCCACCTGCCTAAATTCATCCCAAAACTAATGCACATGTGGATTTCTAAGGAAATCCTTTAAGTTCTTTAAGGATGTTCCTCTTCTCTCCTACCCATTTAGATAATTTCTTAAAAATGAACCACACACCACATATTTCTTTTTTCTCTAACTAGACCTCATGACCAACATTCTCATCATCCCTGTCATTGATACCAGTGGTGTCAGCATGACCCTGTCCCTAAGCAGAATCTCCAAATTTCGCAGTGCAGAGGAAACGCAACTGCAGCAGTCCAGCGTTCTGCAGGAACAGTCTACATTTTCTGGAGCTCATTTCTTTGACAGTTATGAATTCTAACGTGTCTATGTCTTTTGTGAGTTAGGAGACTAAAAACTCCACAAAGGCAAGTAAAACCCCTGAGAAAGAAGCAAAAGGGAGGAGTTCAGGCTTAGCTACTCTAGCTGTAGACACACTAATTTTAATGGGTAAACTTAAAGGTGTTACTTTAAAAATCAACTTTAAATTTTCAAAACTAACAGAAAAGGGAATCAGAAAATTGAATGATATAAAAGCATTTTAAATCTAAAGTAAACACTACTATTTTGGGTTATTTTTATCAATGTTGTTTGTAAGATAGGGTCTCATGTAGTTCAGCCCGGTATTGTACTCGCTATGTAGTCAATGATAACCTTCAGTTTTTGATCCTCCTGCCTCTACCTCCCTGATACTGAGATGACAGGCATGTGCCATCATTTCCAGTGTTAACTCAATGCTGGAGATCAAATCCAGGACTTTGAGCATGCTAGGCAAACACTCTACCAATTAAGCTACATTCCCAGTCCACACTTAGAAAGCAATGAAAAATAAATGCTGGCATTTTCCTTACGTCTTTCTTTAAAGCCTAGATAAAAATATTTGTAGAAGAACCCATCTCTACAGTTGACAGTCTAGCAAGCTGATGTGTCTTGGGAACTAACTCCAGGATCAAACCTCTGGTTAGTTCTAGAGAACAAGGTGAGCAGACAGTGCACATATGTCGGAATGATAACCACACAACATACCCACGTTGGCCTTCACTCCAAGAGCCTGCACTGCAGCCATGGTGTGTACAATGACACCCTTGGGGAACTCAGACCAGGTTGGAGGCTTCCCATCAACAGTAATGATATGGCGCAGACGTGGGACCAACGAGACTATATCCTGAAGAAACACAAACATTCACCATGATCTGTTAACCAAGTTTCAGGGACTAATCCAAGACACATGAGAGGAGTTCACCCACTGAGTGACCAACTGATTTCTTGCCCCCAAAAAGTTAAGAGGGAGGGAGGGAGGGAGGGAGGGAGGGAGGGAGGGAGGGAGGGAGGGAGGGAGGGAGGGAGGGAGGCAGGCAGGCAGGGAGGCAGGCAGGCAGGGAGGCAGGCAGGCAGGGAGGCAGGGAGGGAGGGAGGCAGGGAGGGAGGCAGGGAGGGAGGCAGGGAGGGAGGCAGGGAGGGAGGACTGGTAGAAAGGACAAATGGGAGGAAGGTAGGTGAGGGGAAGAGTGGGTTTGTACTCACTATTCTACAGTATTATATATACTCTGTTCTTTGATTAAAATCCTTACCAACAAAATTATTGCTCCACAAAAATGAACATATAAACACAGAATACCTGAACTACATCATATAGGGAAGCCCAAAGTCCCTCAAGAACATAAGGGAGAAAATTCACTTTGTAAGTTTATTTAAAAAAAAAAAAAAAAGAAAGAAAGAAAAAAGAATGCCTGAGATGGCAATGTTCTCAGGAGCAATTGCCTAGAAATTACAAGAATCCTCTTCCTATTATTTCATAAAATGCCTCCCATTTTAGTACTTGAAATCTTAATTTTAAATCATTATTCAGTGATTCATAAATGAATTTCAAATATTCAGTAGTCTGGAAAGTGGTTAGGAGCATACATATAGCAGCTTACAACAGCCTGTAACTCCAGCTCCAGGGAATCCAATGCCCTTTTCTGGCCTCTTTGTACACTTCCTGGCACCCCTCCCTCCCCATCCTTTCTTCCCTACTTCTGCTCTTTTCTCTCTTCTCTCTCCCTCCTTCCCTCACTCCCTCCTTCCCTCCCTCCCTCTCTCCCTTTCAGGAGATAAGATCTCATGTCTCAAGAGTATTAGGTAGCTGAGGATAACTTTGAACTACTGATCTTCCTACTTCCATCTTCCAACACTGAGATTTGTGTGCACACATGGGTACCTATGCACATTTGTGAGTGCTCTGGCCTGGAACTTTCATTGTAAGAGTTCTGGGAATCCAACTCAGGTCCTTGTGCTTACAAACGTAAGCATTTCACTTGACCTACATGGTACATGCAGGCAGGCAAAACACCTATCCACATAAAATAAATATAAAATGATGAGGGGCCAGCAAGATGGCTCAGGAGGTAAGTGTACTTGCCACCAAGCCCGATGGCCTGAATTCAACGAAACCCACAAGGAAACTCATGATGAACAGAGAAGAGTTGACTGCTACAGGTAGGAGGGCAAAAGGCCTTGTGCACACAGATAAACACTGGAGAAGCCAGGAAAGTTAAACACACAGCTCACCTCTTCAAAGGAATGAGTTGAGTAACTGTTCTGGAACACTAAGAATGATGTCCTTCTACAACCTGGTGATCCTTTGCTGTCTGATGAGACAGACTCTACCCATGTCTCCCATAATTTAAGTTTTTACTTATCCCAAGACCTTTTTCCCTAAATATTGAGCATTGTTTTTAGATCATAAACCCCACTCTTAGGAGCAAGGTCAACTGTGCTTTAAACAGCTTAAGTGACTTCTATATTATCTTAGGGCCAGGCCAATCCCGACACCCACAGGCATTTTATCTCAGTCAAGCTCCCTAGACCCCACATCTTGGGCACTATCTCCAAACGAACAGTACCCATTCTTGTGAAAGAAGCCAAATGTACTTTGTAAGGAATCTCAATGTAAACATGTCTTAAATTGTGAGCACTTGGGACTGAGTTACCTGAATACATTTTTCAAAAATTGGTCTGGGCTTAAATATGGCTAAAGTAACATGATCTGGGCCAGACTCTAGAAGTCCTTCCTGGTCCAGTGCTGGTTATAAAAAAATCGGGCCGAGATGAATTTCATTCTTGTCTCTTCATGGGTCATTTTTTCCCTGCTTGTTTATAAAGCCTGCAGCAGAATCACCGCAGCTGTCCCCACTTTTCACAGGCATGTCACTACTCATGTGACCATACATACACATGCACAAGAGCACAGAAACACAAGTTCAATTTACAGACATTCAAAACTATTAATTTACTCTAAATTCACTATAAAACAAACACAAAAAAGTTGCCATCCCTTTCAATAGACCCTAGCATAGCAATAATTTTTAACAATTTCCTAACTCACCTTTATGTTCTAAAGAAAAAGAGCAAAATCTCAAAGATAACTGAGGATCAGTTTGACTCATCAAAGCATTATACACTTAGAGTTAACTACAGGCCTCACCTTCAGCTTTGTTTGCAAGAGTTCTTTACTAGTAATGATGTTGGTCACCTCTGTCTCATTTAGTCCATGAACAATGGCTGGACCTCCCAGGGTGGCATACAGGGTAACAACTACAAATAGAACACAGAGTACATGTTTAAAAGGGTACACTTACACAGCTGCACCTCAAAGGAACACGTGAATCATGAAGGAGTGCTTTGCATGCACAGCCCATGAGAAACCACTATGGCTATGTACATCACACAGGATGTTGAGCAGCACAGTGGAGTGATGTACACAGCAAAGCTTCTAGTATTTTAATGAAGATTCCTAACATGCTTGCTTCACCTTCACATTATTCGAGGACTAACATAACACAAAGGAATTATACCTGATCCTAGAATGTCAAAATCTTCCTTGTTGGCTGCTCGGAACTAAACATCAAAGGAGACAAGTCCAGTGTTTCTCAACCTTCCTAATGCTGTGACACTTTAGTACAGTTCCTCATGTTGTGGTGAACCCCAACCATCAAATTACTTTCATTACTATTTCACAAATGTAATTTTGCTACTGTCATGAGTCGTAATGCAAAAATGTGTGTAAAGTCTTATATAACCCCTGTGAAAGGGTCCTTCCACCCACAGGTTGAAAACCAATGGAATGCCAGACTTTAAATATCACATGTCAACAAATAACACAAACCAGGAGTAGTTATGACACCTATAATCCTAACACTTGGCAAGTAGACACTGGAGGTCGCCCTGCATTACACAGTGAGCTTGATCACTACATGAGACCCTGACTCAAAAAACAAAAACTAAGGAAAAATAAAATAGTATTTATAAGCCCAAAAATTAAAAAAAGGTGTTTTAGGAACACTGAAATCACATAATATATATAACATGGATTTTTTTATATTTACTTTCCATATAACACAGAAGTGAAACGATTTTGAAAATAATAATCCTTTCAAAATATTCTCAGAAGAAATGTAAACTCAAACCTTGAAAACAAAAAGGTAGCCCCTACTTTACAAAGTAAAAGCAGGTTGAGTGTGGCAGTGCATGTCTTTAATCCCAACCAGGGTTCAAAGCCAGTGTGTTCTCCAGGCCAGCCAGGGATAAACATGATACCCTTCCTTTCTCAAGTAAAGAAAGAAAATGGAGGATAGCTGGAGAGATGGCTCAGTGGTTAAGAGTACTTGGCTCTTCTTGCAGAAGGCCCAAGTTCAGTTCCCAGCACCTATATGGTAGCTAACAACCATCTATATAATTCCAGTTCCAAAGGAATCCAGTGTTCTCTTCTGGCCTCCATGAGCAATGCATACACCTATCACATAAAATAACTCTTTAAAAACGGAAAGGAAAGAAAAATAGAGGAATTTATAACAAGAAGTCTGCTGGAAGCCTCTTTGTTTCATGGTCATTCACCATGACATCTGGCACCAAGAAATCCCAACAGACCTTCCAGGACTGTTTTGCATGGTTAGCCACCATGATCACCACTTGAATAACTTCAGCAACAGAAAGATTCTCTATCACATAATCTAGTACTTGGAAGTTCACCAAGTTATGATAGAGATGTATTCTAGAGGTTAACTGGAGCTAACAGCAGAAGTGGATTAACAAAATGGCAGTAGGTTCAAAAAGGACCCCAGAGATGGTAGCTGAGCAGGAACCCTATAATGAGGTCTAGTTTTCCAGATGCATTAAGACCCCTTAATACTTGGCTAGCAGGGATTCTTCCCAAACTGATTCTTTTTCCAAATAGACAAACAAATAAATATCTAAGCCCTAATAAGCATCCCTCCACTAAGTAGATAAAGAAAAAATTAGTATCAGAATGCTAACCTCATTCTTAAAAAATATTATTTTAGGGCCAAGTGTGGTGGCAAACACCTCTACTCCCACGATTCGACATGCAAAAAAAACAAAACAAAAACAAAAACAAAAACAAAAAAAAACAGGTGGATCTCTGAGTTTGAGGTCAGCCTGGTAACATCATAGTGAGTTCCAGGATAGCCAGAGCTATGGAGGGACTGTGCCTCAAAAACAAAAGAACAAAAAAGAAAGAAGTGCTATTTTAAAAAGTATCGCTTATACGTACGCTGGAAGTTATACATGAAGCAAGCCTGTGCGGCAATCATCCACTCGGCCCGGGTCTCACAGAAGATGGCTATGTTGGTCTTCGGTTTCTGGCCCAACATCTGCAACCCATTTCCAAAGTCAAGGGCTCGAATGAAGACATCTTCATAGGAAAGCCAATTATACTGTCCCAGGATAACCTGATAAAGCAAAGTATAAAGACACAAATGTCTTGTAATGTAGCCAAAATGCTAATTTACAGAAAGAAATCAGAGCAAATTTCAAACTTTATAGCCAGAAAGTTATGTGAATATAAAACATATTAGCTTCAAGTGAAGATGCAGCTTAAAAACAGTTTTTGACACTGACTGTGACAACCCAAATCTCATGCTAAGCTTTTAACTGTGACAGACAGGGGAATTAGCTTTATTTTGGGTTTTCAAAATTATTCAGAATTGAGCCAAAACATCAGGATCTATATAGTGCAAGACCAGCAGAGTTATACAGTGAGGCCTTCTTTTATAAAGGCAAGCTCAGGTGTGGTGGCACATGCTTGCAATCTCGACACTTAACAAGTACAGGGACCAAGTACCGTGCATGAGATTTTTAAAACTTTTCCAGGAACATAAAAAAATGCAATGCTTTGATGACAGTGTCTTACTCCAATTATTAAAATAAAAGCATACCGCCGGGCGGTGGTGGCGCACGCCTTTAATCCCAGTTCTCTGGAGGCAGAGGCAGGTAGATCTCTGTGAGTTCAAGACCAAGCCTGATCTACAGAGCGAGTTCCAGGACAGGCTCCAAAACAATACAGAGAAACCCTGTCTCGAAAAAAAACAAAAAAATAAAAAATTTAAAAAAAAATAAAAGCACACCAATATGTAACCACTTAAGACCTCTGGTTGATGGGACAGTCTAATAGAAATCAAGATTTTAGGTAGCTGATTTAAACCTCTTTAAGTATGAGATTGTTGGTTTTCTCTTCATTAACTACCTAAAATTGAATTATTTCAGAATTACACATTTCCTGTCTTCTTCAACAAAGTGTACCTGGCTTCCTTTAACCTTCTCTTTGTGTTTTGGGCTTGTGTGACTTGGGACATGCAGTTAACAAACACGAAGTTGGGACAGCAAACATAGAAGGGAGATCCATAGGAGTGAGGAAAGAACAAAGCCACAGATCCCAGGCCATGAAAGCTACTGCTTTTAATATGAATTAATGCAAATGCCCCCACAACTCAGAAGTGAAGAGGGGACATGTTTAAACAGGGTTTATTATGTAGCCCTACCTGGCCTGAAACTTATGTCTATCCTCCTGCCTGTCTCCTTTCTGAGCATTTGATCATAGGCTTATAGGTAGTGTGAACCCAGCCAAAAGGGGAAAAACTTTCTCCAATATTTTTATTTGGATTTATTTGGGGGTGGGAGAACCACCTAAGGACTGAACTTAAGAGTCTTGTGTGTAACAGGCAACTGTTCTTACCACTAAATTGTATATGCAGCATTTTTTTCTTTTTTTGGTGCATTGAAACAAGAGCTTGACATATAGCCCAGTATAGTCTTGAACTCATTATCATCCAGCATTAGCCTTAGAAATAAATAAGTGAATAAAAGTCTTCTCAATCCCCTCTGCCATTTGGTCAGTGAGACAAACTAAGCTGTACCACCCAATACCCTGCCATGGCAGATGTGGTCCTGACACAAGAAAGCGGGTGTGACAAGGCCCTTGAGCATGTGGGTGGGTGCAGGGTTAGCTTTGTTTTGTTTTGTTTTTTGTTGTTGTTATTGTTGTTTGTTTGTTTTTTCGAGACAGGGTTTCTCTGTATTGTTTTGGAGGCTGTCCTGGAACTAGCTCTGTAGACCAGGCTGGCCTTGAACTCACAGAGACCCGCCTGCCTCTGCCTCCCGAGTGCTGGGATTAAGGCGTGCGCCACTAACGCCCAGCAGGGTTAGCTTTTTAACTCATTCTCTAGCTTACAACCCATTCCCACAGCTGCCACACCGGCCAACAGAAACAGCAATCTTGGCTAACCAACAGCAAAGCACACTCTAGTAAGACAACAGACAGTTTGTTATATATACAAAACCTAAAAGTTAATTCTAGGTCCCCAGAACAGCTAATTCTAGACCAGAAAAATATAATGCTTTTGTTAATCTATATATAGCCTTCTGAACAAACTGATAAACCACAAATTCAAATTTAACAGCAAGTACTAACAATAGGCATATCTTCTGACATAAAAAATTAAAGGCACAATACCAGCACTCTGTGGAGGCAGGAGGTAAGCGGATCTCTGTGTTTGAGAACAGTCTGATCTACATACAGTTCTAAGACAGTAAGGACTACACAGAGAGACCTAATTTATGAATTATAAGTAAATAGGAAAATGGCACAAATAATTGTTTTTCTCTCCTCTCTCCTCTCTCCTCTCTTAGGGTCCTCGGGTAAGTTAGCTACCTAATTCATCTGGGCTTCAATGCTCTCTGATCTTCAAGATCATCTAAACCAAAAGGTTACTTTCGATTTAAAAGAACTTGATACTAATTAAAACAACTTGGCTAATAAATACTAATTCCACAGTCATTAAACAACTTTTCTAAAGCCACAAGATTAGTAAGTGGCGAAACCAACATTCAAACTTGCGGTCTGGGTCTTAACCATAATATTTCTGTCTGTCAAGACAGCTTTTCTCTGTTTTAAGCCAAAATTCTATAATGGTAAAAACAAAAAGTTTAAGCCATACAACTGCCATAACCAAGGTACCAAGATATTAACACCCACTGTGGTTCCCATAAAAAATGAAAACAAGTCACATGGTACCAGGCACTCTAGATTAGAATTCCCACCCCCAAACTACCTAGATTTTTTATCCCAAGCCCTGGAGATATGAGGTTCAGGAGTCCCACACCAAGGGCACGTTCTCCATGATTTTCTGAAAAGTAGGTCAAATCAGTGGTACTGAGGATAGAGGGACAAAAACAATCTACGGCCCTGGAGAGACACCTTATCCTACATCATCAGCAGATCCCAGCTTCAGGAGACTACACTTCCCATAATGCTAAGTACACAAGAAGAGGAGACTCCTGGATACAAGTATGAAGGGATTCAAGGTAGTAGACATCTCTTACCTTTTTAAAAATTTTTCCATTTGGTTGAATTTCATCTTCCTCATTCAAAATTTCACGTGTTCCCAGTAGCCTTTTGTCCTTAAATTTATTTTTTGCATACATAAAGACTTTATCAAGTGTATCACAGCCAGGATACAATAATGAAGCCAAACTGTCCAAGCTGTTAATAGATCTGAATGCAGAATCCGGTTTTGAATTGACAGGTTTTGCTTTAATTTGGTTTGATTTTTCTTGTCGTGACTCAGACAAAAAGTAAAATGGAATGTATGTTAAAATAGTATAGAGATATATTACAAAATTTATGAAATATAAAAGTATAGGGTTGATGGTCTGTTTTAGCTTCATGGTAGATGGTTTTGAAGGTGTGTGGTTATTCATGAGTGTTCAAAAAATAGAATTAATAGATTTCAACAAGAATCTAGAAGGAAGAAAAAGAAATAGGTTAGTTCAAAATCACTTTAAAAGAAAAATTCTTGAATATTAGCTAGGAAACTAGAGTTGTCTTTGGATCAGAAAAAGTTGGTATACTGGCCCTCTGTAACATCCTAAATTTAAGAAACTTACTTGTACTATGTATCTGTTAACAATGGAGTTACATTTCTACATACTGTGAACAAAAGTAGCCTTTCCAGCCTAGCCTTAAATATCCACAAATACAGCCAGGCACTAGAGGCACATGCCTTTAATCACAGCACATTGGAAGCAGAGTTCAAGGCCAGTCTGGTCTACAGAGTAAGTTCCAAGACAGGCTTCAAAGCCAACAGAGAAACCCTGTCTGCAGGGGATGGGGAGGAGATATCCACAAATACTTCAAACAGTGAAGAAGAGGAAAAGAAACCACCAATTTGCCCACTTCACGTTCCTATGTTATACCAGCATCAGCCACTGTAAATATGCAATGCACATTTCCCAGTAAGCCACATTTGTACTCTATGCAGTAACAAGGAACTGAATTGACAAACATATACATTGTATCTTATTTTCCATGGTAGTTCTGCATATTGGTCCATTTTTGGAGATCAAATTATGAAGCAAGACAACAAAGTATGACTATAGCGTGTCTTTTTTAAGATTTATGTATTTATTATATACACAGTGTTCTGCCTGCATGTACATCTGCACTCAAAAAGAGACGGTTGAGAGCCACCATGTAGTTGCTGGGAATTGAACTCAGGACTTCTGAAAGAGCTGCCAGTGCTCTTAACCTCTGAGCCATCTCTCCAGTCCCCATTGTGTGTCTTTAGCATTCACCAATTTCGTGACTGTCACTGATGCAGTCACTATGGAAATCAGTGTGAAGAATTCTCAAAAAGCTAAAAGATCTACTCTATGACCCCAAAGGTCCCAACATCCTACCCCACAAATAATCTCAGCATATCCACTGCTGCTCTATTCTCCATAATTAGAGAATAAAAATAACCTAACTTCAACTGGTGACTGGATAATATGTGATACATATTCACAATGCAATTCTATCCATCTGTAAATAAAAATAAAATCATAAAATTTTCAGGTAAATGGGTGGAACTAGAAAATATACTGAGATGTGGTTAGTGTAGTCGAGTGGTCTAAGACACTGAATGTATAAAATATACTGAGTAGGTAAACTAGATCCAGAAAAACAAACATCACATGTTCTCTCTTATTTATGGATTCTACTCTAAGTCTTTAGATATGAGTATATAACCTGAAGTAACCACAGAAACCAGATAAAGAGACCGTGGGGAGGGGCATTTCTACAGTGAAGGAAAATAGTAGGACACTGAGGCTACAAAGGGAGAAATGAGAAAAACTGGGAGGGGGGATGGTTTACTGGGAGAGAGGACAGAAAGATAACATTAAGGATGCTTGAAAGCCATAGGGAAACATTTTAGGTTTACTGATAAATACATTTATATGTATAAGTGTGTGTATACATACATCCACACACATATTCTTTGAATGAAGGTTATGCCACTTGAGGTGATATTGCTCTCCCCAAGAGCCATATACTACCCAACAAAAACTCCAGTGCCAGGCAGAGGAAACCTTCAAGGTGGTCAGGAGAGTTTAAAAGTCTCCCAGTAATAAAGGCTTTGATAGTCTCCCAGAACTTAGAGGCAAGACACTATTGCTAAAGACACCACATACCTCAGACACAGGACTTAGAAGAATCAAGCTGGGACTGAGCTGGAACTGACCTGGAAGCCTCCTCGCTGAGGACTAGATCCTATAGCAACTGAGGGTGCTATGCAAGCTGCCAAGGGAGGACAGTAATCAGTCCTACCCAGCTATGATGTCTATGAGCCACAAGGACCAACATGGCAATATCCTCAAGGGAAAATAGTGGCTCAGACTTGGGGTCAACCATTACTGTCTAACTGAACTTTTCACTCAGTAGGAAGAAATTCATGCCTGGCAGTAACCCTAGCCAACTCCCTGTGGCTGCTAAGGCTATGGACTGTGAAGGAGAACAGACTACTGCCACTTTCCTTAACCAGTATAATCTCTAACTTCATCCCAAACACTTATCTTTGTACCCAAGAATAAGTGTAACTCTTGCCCTTCATTGAAGAAGTTTGTTTTTGCTGCAAACAACCATCATTACAGAAATCCACAGCTGGTTAAAATGCAGAAGTTACTACAATACCCAACCCTAACTGATACATCTATGACACAAGCCCTACACCGAAGGCTCTGGGAACATCATGGGAGAGTGGACAGATGACTGTAGGAGCCTGTGTGCATCATCTGTGAGATAATGACATGACAGGAAAACAGGACCTACATAATATCAACATCAATGAACATGCCAGTGTAAACTGTGAAAAATCTACTCCTATACGAAGAACTGCATACAAGTAATGGCTGCTGAGAAAGAGAGAATCAATCTTCTCCAGGGATGACGTCCTTGACAGATTATCCAATCCCAAATGCCCCAGTCTTAAAACAAATATATACACCAGCAACACTAAATGGACTCAGCAGGCGTTTCTCTCTCCTCTGTCTCTGTCTCTGTCTCTCTGTCTCTGTCTCTGTCTGTCTCTGTCTCTGTGTGTGTGTGTGTGTGTGTGTGTGTATATATATATATATTTAACAATAATTGAAGAGATTATGGATTTGAGTGGGAGAACATGGCAAACGTTTTAAGAGAAGGAAGGGAATGATGTAAATACAATACTTGCATACAATTTTCAAAACATTTATATTAAGAAGGGAGAGAGCCAGCCAGCCAACCTAACTTACAGAGTAAGAAAGATATCCAAGCCGGGCGTTGGTGGTGCACGCCTTTAATCCCAGCACTCGGGAGGCAGAGGCAGGCGGATCACTGTGAGTTCGAGACCAGCCTGGTCTACCGAGCGAGTTCCAGGACAGCCTCCAAAGCCACAGGGAAACCCTGTCTCGAAAAACCAAAAAAAAAAAAAAAAAAAAAAAGAGAAAGATATCCAAACCTGCCATATATCCCTAGTGGGAAGTCAGAACTCTCCATTGAGTGTGGATTGAGTGTGGATGGACTCTTCACCCTTCCAGGCTGATATGTTTTGTTGTTGACAATCATTGCACAATATTATGAAGACCACCAGTCCAGAGAACATGGATTTTTGTCCTAAGAGGGATGGGGATTGTGTGGCATTAAAAACTTCTACACAGGTAAATGGCAGCATGAAAACAAGCGGTCTTGGTATTCCCAGAACATCAGAGTATCAAATTATATATATATCCTAAAAACTAAAAAAAAAAAAAAAAAAAAAAGATGGTATTATCTAACAGTGGTTTGAGTGAGAATGCTCATGGATTGAATGCTTGGTCACCAGACTGGAACTGTTTGAAAAGCTTAGAAAGATGAGGAATATGGCTTTGTTGGAGGAAGTGTGTCAGTAGGGGTGGGCATTTAGATTTCAAAAGCCCTCACCAAGGCCTGGTGGTGGTGGCACGTGACTTTAATTCCAGCACTCAGCACTTGGGAGACAGAGGCAGGCAGATCTCTGTGAGTTCGAGGACAGCCTAGTCTACAGAATGAGCTCCAGGACAGCCAGGGCTACGCTGTCTCAAAAATAAATAAATAAAAACAAACAAAGCCTACACCAGGCCCAGTGTCCCTCTGTCTTCCTCTCTCCCGGCCTGAAGATCAGGACGCAGCTCTCAGCTACTGCCCTAGTGCCAAAAGGGCTGCCGTGCTCCTGCCGTGCTCCCGCCATGATGAAAACAGACTAAACCTCTGAAACTGTAAGCAAGGCCTCAATTCAGTTGCCTTGGTCATGGTGTCTCTTCTTTCACAGCAATAGAACACTGACTAAGACATCTAGCTACTCTCTTTCAAACTTAACTTTACATGTTTTTATTGAATTAAAAAGCTGATGTTTTCTTCAGTCATTTGCATTCTACAGGAACTGATGAATAATCCAAACCAAGAAAGTGGGTGTCTTGTATATCATGTGGCAAGCTTACTCCCATCCCCAATCCAACACAAAGTGTTAAAATTCACTAGGATGATAACTAGCCTGGCGTGCTAGTCAAGGTAGAATTTCCCAGGATGCAGAACCTTCACTACTGAAAGTGAGGGTAATTCCCAGGCAAGCAGTGATGAACAGGTTGGTTAATCTACTGTTAATTACTTCCTGGAGTCAATAAAATAATGGTAGCCTGAACTCTACCACTAATTAAATTTGATCTTTTATCAAGAAGTAAGTTTTTGTACCTGATTTCACCCATCTGTCACCATTTATCTAATACACAAAATTAAAGTAAATATAAATATGAAATGCAATAGGTATAAACAGGGCTCTGGGGAAAAAAAGGCATCATAAAAAGTCACTAACAGAGAATAAGTATAGAGTTCAGTTTCATGCAATTAACAAAACATATAGGGGAAAGACATATAAGGACTTGTTTTATTTAGATATGTCACATGATCTACTGAGAACTATTACTGGTAGTATTATTTTGATAACAGGTTAAAAAAAAACTTCAAAAGACTTGTTCCTTTTGGAACAATGCTAACAAGGACTTGGTTTAGTACTGGCTCCCATTTACTCATCATGGAAATATAGTATGTTACTAACATCCAAAGCGGTAAGGCTAAACAAACAATACCAAGTACCCCTACAGAACTCCTACTAGGAGTAAACAAGAAAAACATGAGACAATTCCTACATACACTGCAAAATGCAAAGCATCTGCTAACAGAACTTGATTTTTACCTATAAAACGACCATTCTAATATTCTTACTTTACCTTAAATACTTCTCATACCTCGCTCATTCTGAAAACACTGAAATCTATTCAAGTTCACTCTTGAGCACTTAAGCTATAGCCAAATACAGGCTTGATCAACAACTTAATAAATGCTACTGTAGGAAGTCTGCATGCCGCCATTAAACATGTGACTTACTAGAGGCGCATACAGATGAGGTAATAAAAGGGCAGTTTACCACACCACTAACCACACCCACTTTAGGCTGGACGTAAAGACGTATACGTACGTAGGCGGAACTACGTCACTAGCCATGGCTTTTGGGCTTTTGGGCATGGCTAGGGGGCATTATGGGGGAAGGCATAAAAGACAGCACACAGGAAGTCTCGCTCTCTTTTCCTGGAGTTCGGCTTCCGGCTCGGCAGAGGAAATGGCTTGTATCGTCTGGGTTACTTGTTTGGTATCTTGTGAGTATTTCTACATTAAATACTTAGCTTTACTTTCAATAATTGTGTGTCGCGTATCGTTACAGCGTCCGTTGAAGCCTACAGCTACCTACAGTGTGTTTCTATTTCTCATTTACAGAAAATGGAGAAATCTTGTATCATGACATCATTATGAGGATTAAGTCAATGACATACTTCAAGTCTGTTGCTAGTATCTCACAAGGTGATTTTAGCAATTTGTTTGCCATCCTTAAGTTTTTAGGTTCATACAAGAGATTGAAGTCATGTCTATCCATGGAGTACCTTATGAAATGAAATAAATAGTAATCACAAGAAAAAAAGTCACTCACTCAAGTGAGAGCCAGCAACAGCATCCACAGTGGCACCAATACATTCTGTACACCTGAGGCAAGGGTCCAGCCAAGCCCCACAGGCCAGGAAAGCACAGACTGCCCAGAGGTGACCTTCTCCGGCCCATTCTCAGCAACAAATCTGGCTCGGTTTTACAGAAATATAATTCCTAAGTTAATAAAAGGAGGCTTAAATCATCTTTGATGGAAACTGGTATTATTCTATTTTTAAGCTCTCTCCATGAGTTTCAGTTACTCAAAGTCAAGGCAATCCTCCTGACTCAGCAGATCTTGGATTACAGATCTGTATATTCTTCAGTTTCTATAAAATACAAGTACTCATGCTGGGTTACAAAATTTAATATATATTCACACACTAACAATCTTCCCTAAGTCTACTACATCACTAGGCTTTATAGCATACAACTATGAAAACAAGTGTTGGAGACTACTTCTAGAACTCACTATAATCCCACAAGTAGAAAATGCATTTAGATAAAAATTCAACAAACTTTACCAGTGCCATTTATGCAACCTCCTAACCAATGTTCCTTTAAGAAGCTTCCTTAAGGCCCAAAGGAAGAGGAAGGAACAGTAGAACCCTTAAAATGCTATGCTCCACTTCACTGTCTTCGATGCTTCACTGAGTGCTACACACACACACACACACACACACACACACACACACACACACACACACACACACACCTTGCTTACCCCAGGAAAATCTATTCCTACTTTTCTAATTTACTTTTCCAAGTCATAATCCACACTTCGTATTATATCCCACGAAAGAGGTTTGAAGTTTTCTCCATCCAAAGATGTAATCTTATATGAGGATTTGTTTGGTTAAAGGGAATGGGAAGGAATGACATGTCCAATCATCTCAGTATTATCAAGTGCAAAAGCAGAGCGACTAGAGTTCGTTACCCACATCTCATTGACAGCAATTGTGTTGATCAGTAATGTACCAACCATCCAACAACTGAATTAAGACAATAATATGTCTTATATATTAAGACGGTAATGACTAGAACTGTGTACACTTTGTACACTACTTTGTATGTACTCAATTTCTGCAAGTGAGAACCAGATACATAACATATATACATAAATACACATATATACATATATTTTCTCCCCACCCCCCAACATTAGATGCTAGATTATATGACAAGCCAACTGCTTGTGTCTTAATAATTATAAATCTGTAAGTAATACTTTCAGTATCCCATGAACCCATACTCATTAAAATGAATTGCCTAATTTTTAGATAAAGGCTGTTTTAAGTAGATAAATAATTTCATTTTTGAACTTTAATTTTCTTTCCTAGAAAAACAAAAGAGCCTGGCAGTGGTGGTACATGACTTTAATCCCAGCACTTGGGAGGTAGAAACAGGCAGATCTCTGAGTTGGAGGCAAGCCTGGTCTACAGAGTAAGTTCCAGAACAACCAGGGCTACAAGGGAGGGAGGGAGATAGATTAAGAAAGAAAAAGATTGTTTAAAGAAAATCCAAAGGCTGAAGACAAAAAAATACAAACATTTAAAGCTACAAAATACAGCATAAATAAGTATAGTAAGCCTGTCCTATAGATAACAGCTCTTTGGGCATGTTTAGTCTTTGATTATTATTATAAAAGGAATAAAGTATCTAATTGCTGTTTTTGAGGTGATCTTTAATGATTGTTCATTGTAAGTCAAAGCTGTAGCAGCTCAAAGTTTTGGGGGTTGTTTTGTTTTTTCTGTAAAGGTTTTTGAGACAAGGTCTCATGTATTCCCAAACTAGACTAAGAGGTTCAAGGTCATCCTTGATTACAAGCCAGGCTGTGCTTGCATTCCCCCAGATACACACATACACATGGACTCACACAATAGAAACACATACACATTAAAAAATAATATTTAACAATCTCTTCAAGCCCAGTATTATGGCACATGCCCATAATCCCAGTGCTCAGAAAGCCACAGTAGGAGAGCCAGGTACACATTCAAGGCCAGCCTAGCCTACACAGCAAACTCATCTCAAAAAGGGAGCAGCAGCAACAGGGGGATCACTGTATAAATTGTAATGATCACAAAATTAGAATGAGGAAGAACCAGGTTTGTGGGTTTAAGCTACACTGAAGCCTCAGATTCCAAGCTCATCTGTATCCATCTACCACTCCAATCTTTCTGCCTCGTCCACCTCCCAGACCTCTCACCACAGCCCCGGCAGTCACTCCCATCTCCCACCCCAGCTTACAGCTTTTGTTTTCATGCCTGGAAAATAAGCAAACTAAACGTCTTTAATGTGTAAGAGAAGTGTGTAACAGCCTCAGGCAGCAATGCTCATGTCACATCTCATTTGAATATAAATTCTACAAGTCACAAAAAATACAAAGTTATATGGCATAATAAAAAAATGACTTAGGGAAATAAAACAGTGGCTACATTAAAAAATCAATACTCCCCTTATTATTGTTCATATCAGTAATGACTGACTTCATCTGTCTAGATTAAAACTACCTACACTTCAGACTAGGGTTACAGCAGCTCAGTGACTGGGTGGTTACTCACGTGCATGCGACTCTATTCCAGAATGGCAAAAAAGAAAAAGAACCAAAAACACCTATAGGAACCAGGCTTGGTGGTACCACTCAGCAGGCTGTAGCAGAAGGGACCAACCTGGGTTACTTGGTGAGATACTGTTTCTACCGGTGTGAACATGAAATGCTAAATTAATTCATCCTGGTTCATTTTGGTTTTTGTTAACTAAAACATTCTGCTTCATTTTAGAAAAACTCACCAACATCCTCCTGCCTCAAACAGGAAGGAATTTCTAGTCTCATGTTTAGTTTTATGGTAACAGAGTACCTAGCATCATGGTAATAGTCTGAATAAAAAGTAAAATGTGCAAATAAAATTAAAAAAACAATAATCTTATGGTTGAAAAAGGAACATTTCAAGCCAGGTGATGGTGGTGCATGCCTTTAATCCCAGCAGATCTCTGTGAGTTTAAAGCCAGCCTGATCTACAGAATGAGTACAAGGGCACTCAGAGCTGTTACAGAGAAACCCTGTCCAGAAAACAAAAAGAAAACAAAGAAAAAGGAACATTTCATAATTTAGCCAAAAAAATTATTAAATACCCTCAAAACATCAACACAGATAACTGAACTCTGCTGTATGCAAAGCTGGGAGGGAAGTGGAGAAAGAGGAAGAAAGGAAGCTGGTCCCGTGTCATATGCCTGTAAAATCATTTTAGAAAGAAGAAAGGCAGTATGTATCTGTAGTGAGTACTCATAATTAAAACAACAAATGTCAATACAGGCATTTCTCACAAAAAAAAAAAGACCCATAGGAAATAGCAAGTGTGTTTTGCATTTTATCTTGATAAGAGAAATCAGATTTATATAAGAAGTCCAGAATAGCCGGGCAGTAGTGGCGCATGCCTTTAATCCCAGCACTCGGGAGGCAGAGGCAGGCAGATCTCTGTGAGTTCGAGGCCTGGCTGGATCGACAGCCTCCAAAACAATACAGAGAAACTCTGTCTCGTAAAAAAAAAAAAAACAGTCCAGAATATTAAACAGGCCTGCCCATCTGGGCTGTCACCTGCTTAACCTTTCAAATTCTAAGAAAAACTACAAATCTGACCTTCCAAAAAAGAAAACTGATACCTGTTTAGGCTGTTAAGTACTTCCCTTAGACTTTAGAAATGCTTAGACCAAGCAGAAGTCGGGGGTAGGAGGTGTGGTGCAGGCCTTTAAATCCAGCAATTGAGAGGAAGAGGCAGATGGATCTCTGTGAATTCGAGGCCGGCCTGGTCTACAGAGCAAGTTCCAGGACAGCCAGGGCTACACAGAGAAACCCTGTCTAGAAAAACCAAAAGAAGAAAAAAAGAAGGCCACAGACGGTTTAGTGGTTAAAAGTAATTACTTTCAAGTACCTACCTACCAACCCAAACTCTATCTTGGGGACTTACAGGGTTGAGGGACATTGTCCTGTGACTTCCACAAGAGGGCAACAGCATGCACCAGTATGCACATATATACACACAAATAAAAGACTTTAATGTTTCTGTATTACTTTTTAAGCACAGAAAAAAATGATTATTTAAACACAAATTTTCAAAACCACACTTACTCATAAGCAGTCCAATGCCAGCAGTTCCATTCCATCCTGGCTTCATCAATACCTGCATTTTCTTTGACCTCTCCATGTCCTTCCCTACATCTCAAGTCTCTCCAATCTGATTCTAGTTCATCTCTGCAATTCAAGTGCTTCCTCTTCTGCCAGGTCCTGCAGCAGATTCCTCCCCTACACTTTCCTTGCCGCCTCTTCCACCCATTTCTACTGCCAGCACATTCTGGAGGGCAAAAACCAGTCGTGATTTAGCATCCCCCACTACTTTAAAATCACTAAGGCATTCTTTATTCACTCCACACCCTTCAAAGAGCTAATGTTCAAGCATCTATTTAGGACTGGGCATACAGCTCAGTGGTCGAATGCACACCCGAGCCCCTGTGAGGTCCAGTATCAGGGAGGGGCTACTGATACAACTGGACAGGGTACAGTCATAGCTACTCTGAGGATTTACAAATCCCCCTATTTCTCTCCTCTCCCCACCAGTAAATCCCAGTGCTTTTTACAGAGCTCCAACTGTCCAAACTTTAACTCTGATGTCACCTCTTTATGAAGTCTATGCTTATGGTCTTTTCCTCTAAGAATTCAATGCTGAGAGAATACACCTCCTCTATAGACTCTGCTTGTTTCTACCTATGCTTCAAAGAGGTGGGCACATTAATGATTCATCTCTGAAATGCTTAGCCCAAGAAACCCAGAAAACACTACACAGCATGTGTTCAATTAAATATTTTTAGTTTTAGTTTACTTTTTGGTTTTGTTGCTTTATGAACTTACTTCCAAAAGAGTAAAAAAAAAAAAAAAAGCCTCACAAAAAAAAAAACACAGTAAGAAATTTTATGTCTTTGTTTCTGAAAAACAATGCTGGAAATCTCAAAGAAAAGCAAGGGAATATAAACTCTGTTTAGCTGGGTTCTCTATCAACTCACTCAACAACCAGTAAATCATTGAAGGGTTATCACCTAGTAGTCCTGCTCTTCAAATACTTCAGTAGAATATAAGTAATGGTTAAGTATGGTGGCTATTTAAATCAGAACACCACTGAGTCTGGTTTAACCAAAATACTCAAGAGGCTACACTGTTTGGGGAGGGTTACTTTGTGATATTTTGTGATACATATGAGATTGGTAGGTAGGTAGGTAGGTAGGTAGGTAGGTAGGTAGGTAGATAGATAGATAGATAGATAGACAGACAGACAGACAGACAGACAGAGATACATGGTTATTTATGGTTTTCCTTAGTTAAAAGTTACATATAAAACTTTAGACTCAAAGATATTTTCTTTAAATTTTGCCAAATGTTAGTGGAATAAATATTGTTAACTATAGTTCTTTCTTGGTAACTGTTTTGTTACATATAATTTTACCATATTAAAGTTAAAACCTTCCTTTAAAAAAAAACAAAAAAAGATGATGGGAAATGCCTTTCTGTATGCTGTTACTATGTTTCTTATTGTTTGATGAATAAAGCTGTTTTTCCGCCCATGGACAGACAGGATGTACCTAAGTAGGATGTATAGGCCGGTATACCAAACTAAGAGGATTCTGGGAAGAGGAAGGCAGAGAGTGGGTCTTCAGAGACATACCATGTAGCTGCCAAGGAAGAAAGACCCAGGCATCACCGGTAAGCCAAGACCACATGGTGATACACATATTAATAGAAATGGGATAATAATTGAGAGAGCTAGCCAATAAGAAGCCTAAGCCACATGCCAAACAGTCTAAATTCTGTGTGCTTATTTAGGACTAAGCAGCTGCGGGACTGGGCAAGACAGAAACTTCAATCTACAGATAGATGATAATACAAACATTAAGGATATCAGATGGATCTCTGTTAGTTCAAGACCAGCCCAGTCTACATAAGTTCCAGGGCCACCAGTGTTATACAATGAGAGACCCACTCTAAAAAAAAAACCACTTTCTTTTGGGAACATAAACTCAAACACCAATAAAGTCACCCTCATGTTGAACACACAAAAATGAAGCACCACCACTTGAGAAGGAAGTTTGTGATTTTTATTAAAAGCACTCAGCTTTTTCAAATTCTTTACTCAGTATTTGCACTTCTAGGAATCTTTAAGAAAATTATTTCCACTAATTATTTGTAACGGGCATTCAAGAAAAAAGGCAAATACACAATAACTGGGAATGTCAAACACACTATGACATGTACATAACTAGATTATATAGCCACTAAAAATATTTCAAACATCTATTAACACGATAATTCTTGTGACATAATGACAAGGAAAAGTAGGCTGAATATTAAATATACACTATATAGTTTCACTTGTTAACAAACAAAAAAACACCAAAATATCAGCAGTAGCCATATTTGGGATATAGAATTAGTACTGAGTCTTTTAATTTGTCTTCTTTATGTTTTTACATATTTTCTATTTTTCATAGAGGACATATATTGTGTGTAATCAAGGAAAATCTTAAGGAAACATGTGCATAATGATTTCTACACATTCAAACAGGAACAAAACTTATATACTAAAAATCATTACCCACTGAGTCAGTTCATGACTTTTTTTTTTTTTAAACAAGAAACTAAATAGAACCTGGAAAATCCAAACACTAACTTGAAAATATTTCTGTTCTAAACATACAACTTGAATTGTGGCTCAGGATGATTTCAGAATTTAAGAGGCAGAGCAGGTGGATCTCTGTAAGTTCCGGCCAGCCTGGTCTATATAGCAAGTTCTAAGACATCCAGGATTATATAGAGAGACTTTGTCATGAGGAAGGAAGGAGGGAGAGGGAAGAAAGGAGAGGGAGGGAAGGGGCTGAAGCAGAAGAATAGCTGCAAGTCCAAATTCAGTCTGGTGTTCATATTGAGTTTTAGTCTAGTCAGGGCTACATAGTAGGACCTCACTCAAAACATACAACTAGGGCCAGGCTTGGTAGCAAAGACAGGCAGATTTTGAGATTGTGAGTTTGAGAACAGCCTGGAGTACATAACAACAACAAAAAAGCAAAGCATACGATTCTATAAATTCTAAATTTTATGTAATCTGGCTGAAAAGTTTCTCAATAACCTCAGTAAGTGAGTAATCCCAAAACTAACACAATAAATTATAATTGGGCATAATAGTTAGGTTCTTATGGATATTTTAATTTGACTAAAAATAACTGATAAATCCTAACATTCCTGGTCATATAATGCAAAACACAGTAAGAAAAATGTTAACTCCTTCTGTGTCTTGTAGTAATAAAACTAACCTTTCTGTAGTTAAGTGAGACCCAAGAAACACTGCCTGTCAGTTGACACAGCACTATCTCCAAGTTCCCTAATTTTCCCACCTTACTGTCAGCTTAGAGCCTGTTTCTCTTATCTGATGCCTTATACAAGGCCCAGATTTATCTTAAGACTCTCCACAAGGTATCACCCTCTGGGCCTTGTGTACTGTCCCCAATGGCAAGTCTCTGAACTAGTATGCTGCCCACTTTCCCCTACCTCCCTGCTACATCTCTCTCCTATTGGATTTGTGCACCACCACTTAACCCAAGTTTCCCACTCTCCCCACTTTCTACATTTTGCCTTAGCAATACCTATTGTGCTTATAATTGATATAACTGCTTATAAAACTACTTAATGCCCATCTTCTCTATGCACGAAAGAACAATGTCTCTTACTCATTCTATCCCTAGTGGCCATCATCACAGAACCTGGTGAAGCAAGCATCACATGGATGAGTAGGTGGGTGAATGAATGTATATGTCCAAGAAAACAGACACAAGGTGAATTACAGATGTTAAATGAGTTCTTGGGCACAGTGATACATGCTTATAAACCTAGCTACTCAGGAAGCTTAGGCTGTAAGATTCTAAGTTCAAGGTCTACCTGAACTACATGGCGAGTTCAAGCCTGGCCTGACAACTTAATGAGACTGTCTTAAAAATAAAGGAGAAAAAAATTCCCTGGGGGGAGAGGGACACACTTCCAAATGTGCGGAGGCAGCTGCAGATACAGCTTGTTAACAGAGCTCATAAACAGAACTCATAAGACCTATGAGTTCAATTCCAGTACCATAGGAAAAAATCATTATCGATCCCAGAGGTTTACTAGGGAGGTGGCGGCCAGGTAGACAGCTCAAGGCCCTCTCCAAAACAGAAAAAAAACTAAGGATGTAGCTCAGTGGTAGATCCCTTTCATAGATGAGCTGAGGTCAAGGTTTGAGGCCCAACTAGTGGGAGAGGAAAAAATTTCATAATTTAGATGACAACTTTCATATATATAACTTTCTTGGCATTGTCATCTACCTTATAAATTTAGGAATTCTTGTGATCCTAAGTCTAAAGCCTCTTCTAATAGATTTGCCCTACTCAATTTTTTCCATAGAATGTATTCCATTACAGTAAATACTATGTTCACCCCTTTCTAGCCTCCCTTGCCCCAGGGGTATGACCTGGTCACAGATGTCACTTTATTCTTAAATGAACTCTATTCACCTCTATTTTCATTGTGTTCTCCAAATCTCTAAATTTGTTCTTTCTAAAATACTTTTGGGGTTGTTTGTTTCTTAAACCAAGTACTCTATAGCCTCAACTAAATGATCTTTTTGTCTCTGCCTCTCAGAATGCTTGATTACATATATGAACCACTACATCAGGAGCTATCTAAACTTAAATATCAAAACTAATTGATCATTCTTTGCTGCCCAGACTTCCTCTGCCATGTTCTAGCCTGAACTTTTCAGCCTACTCACTGATCTCTCTTTAATCCTAGGATAGGAAGTATATACTAACTAGTGGTAGTCATTTTGCCCATAAATGGATCATTTCTGACTTTATCACAACTCAAAATGAAATGGGAGCTCTTTACTAGACAAAAATGTCTTATCTCTATAATGTGGCTTAACTACACAGTATTCTGTCAATTTAGGAAATGCCTGGAGCACTATGAAGCAACCAAGAGAAACATTCAAGGTTCCTAGTCCCAAGAACAAAGAAGCTAGTCCTTAGCAGCTCAATGTGCAGAGCTCTTCTTCAGCTGTTTTAGCTGCTTTCTGGAGAGCTGCTTCCGACTGCTCTGTAGGACAGAGAGATCGGACCTTGAGGAAGAGCAGGAGCCCACATTTTCTGCTTTTAAGGGCTTAATGAGATGCCCTAGTTTGGTGCTAACCTTGGGAACTGTCAGCTTTTGGAAGGCCCTCTGGGTGTTCCATGTGTACCCAATAGGGTTCTGGATAGTCCTCTCAAATTGCTGGTGGTGGGTGAATGGGTGTGGAACAGCCTGCACCTGATGAGCTGCTGCATGGATGTTGCGCTTCTCATTGATAATCACATTTGGCAAATTCTTGTCTTTTCTTGGAAAACTTTCAGGAGCTTTAACAAGAAAACGGCGTCTTTTCTTGGCACTGGGATTCAGGCCTACACCAACCCACTCACCCCATCCAGGCAATGTCAGGTCCAAATCCTTTGACTTATTTGCCTCTACAGCTTCACTTTTCTCTTTTAAGAACTCTCTGATGACATCATCCCCAGCAAAAGCTTCCTTTATTATCTGCTTGTGGTGTATCTCCACTTCATCTTCCAACTCCTCTACTGTGGGCAATGCCAAAGACTTCACAGGAGATCTAGCAGTTAGGAGATTCTGTAGGTCAATCATTTGTTCCTTCTTTTTCTTTCTTCTAGAGGAATCAGGTATACTGTGTGGATTCCTCTCCTTCCACTCTTCTTTTAACATAGGTCTGGGATGCCCCTCTTTTTGATAATGTCCCTCTTTGCCCAACTCTCCTTGTTCTTCCAGAACATGTGCTCTCTCTAGCTTTTGAAACACCAGGCTCTCCTCCGGGGCAAGTTCTTCTCTCTGGCTCTGGAGAACAGTTCCCACTGAACTCCCTTTTTGCTGCTCAGATTGATGGTCTTCCTTGTGAAGTTTCTGAAACAATAGCCCTGGCTCAGATACCTCCTGGCCACTAGAGTCTTCTGTTTCTTGGCTACCCACTGGCTTAGCACTGTTGGGTTCAACTCTTTGTTGAAAAGATCTTTCTTTCAACAAAAGTTCTTCTGCCACTGGTCTTTCATCTCCCTCACTTTCAGAAGACCCACTAGCCAGCTGTTCAGGGTCAGTCTTGATCTCACCCCTTTGTGCACTGCTGTTGCAACTCTTGAGCATCCAGGGATTTAGACCAGCTGCATTCACCTGTAGGTCCTTCACTCCATCAGAGGTAGGGATTACTCCTCCTCCTGTGCATTCCTCTTCCTCCTCCTCATTCTCTGGAATCACCTGGAGTTTCTGTGTCAGTTCTTTGTTCTTTGCCAGTTGCTCTTGAATAGCTTTGCGAGCCTCCAGGTCATATCTGGCCATAATTGCCTTTGACTTGGCCCATTTTCCACTGCCCTGGTGCTTAAGGGTCATTCGTTCCTTCGCTCTGGCCTCTTCCATTTTTCCCAGTTCTTGCAATGCAGCACTTGGGCAGTCCTTCAATAGCTGCTCAAACTCTTTTAAGGTTTTCTTGGCCTTCCCTTTCTTTATAAATTTGTGATACTTTTTACTTTTGATTTTCTTCTCTCTTCGAGCTCTGGCCTCATAGTAGGACTGCAAAGCTCGTGTCCTCTGAAGCTCTGCTCGGTGTATCTTGGCTTCTTCCAGACTCATGGCTTTGAGGGAGGCTTTTTCCACAGGAGTCAATAAAGGGTCTGTTACTGGCTGTTTGTTCTTATGAAGGACGTTAAAAACTTCTTGCTCCAAGGGGGTTCTTGTTTTCCAGCCAGTGAATACATGTTCAAGGGGAGCAACAGCTGGCAGCTCCTTCTCCATGGGAAAAACCAGCTGTTCTGCTTGCCGGTTCTGCAGAACGATGGGATCCCACTTGGAGAGCATTTGTGAGGTTTTGCTGAATGCCGCTTCCCTGAGGATCTGGTCAGCCTCTTTTTTGCCAAGGGGTATATCCAGAGTCTTTGACTTGACTCTAAGCAGTTGTTTTTTCACAGTAGCCAATGAAGACAATGTAGCAGCAGGTTCAAGCAAATCTGACAGAACCAACTTTTCACCTGACCCTTCAGAAGTGACATTGAACTCTGACATGATAAGACTAGCTTCAGATCTCTCGGCCAATTTCCAACTATTCCTTCCACCAAGGGAACTGACTGCTTCCAGAAGCTTTTGACACTTTCTTTCTCCATCACTGTCCCCCTCATCTTCACTTGTACTCAATGGGTAATGGTTTGGCAAATCTACTAGTTCTTCCTGCTGGCTCAAAGCCAAAAGGCCTACCACATTCCTGGTCACATTCATGGTAGCAGCCTATTTTCTCTCACATCACCTGTAGCTCTTGAAGAGGCGTCTGGTCTCACTCATCTTGGCTCCATCTATTTATTGCCAACTGTCTTTGACACAGATGTTTTCTGAGAATCTTAGTTATTGAGATGTCTAAAGAAGAAAAGACCCATATAAATTCCCCAATAATTTGCATGTAGTCAACACACAAAACTTACAAGCTAGCCAGGATGGTGACATAAAAGGATAGTCTAGGCTATATTAAGTCTCATTATCTGTGTCTGTCTCTCTCTCTCTCTCATATGTGTATATACATCTATGTATGTATATATATGTGTGTATATATTTACATAAAAACATTATCTGGACACCCAAAAATTATAGCACAGGTAACAAAATCTCAAGCCAAGGAAAAAGAAAGGGGAAGTGAAAACAAAGAACCATGATGGAAAAGAAGGCTTTATGGCAAGAGATCAGATAGGAGACCAAGCCCAATAGGAAGGAAAAATAGTTGTGGATAATGCCACATCACCAGTCCTAAAGCATCACTGCAATCAACAAGACAAGGTTCTGAATATACTTCTTGTATGTTACAAGTAAAAAGACCACCCTGTCTTCTAAACTTGTTATACCCCAGAAAACTTTAATTCATCCAACAATTACTTTCTGAGTTGATTCACTAAATGAAATTCATGCAGGAACTTAAATGCATCTGTCTCTCAAGTCTCTGCTCCATGCCTCCTTCAAAGGATGCACTCTACCTCCTTAGTCCTCAATGGCTAATCCTCAATGTTGGCTGATGATGCACTCTTCCAAACTCCACTGCCCCTCCACATCCACTGTAAGCACCTCCCTTAAACTCCTGTTCATTCCAAACCTACCTCAAGGCTCACTTCATTTATTTAGCTGACACTTCCCTGGCTACTCTGACCAAACAGGAGCTCCCTGTCTCCATTCTCAGTTGGCCTTTACCAGGCCTTATATTACCTTCACAGAGTTTGAGGAAAAATACTTCCAACCAATCCCTTTTAAAATGTATACATAAGTTTGTTAACCCACCAGATTCAGAATGCTTGCTACTATTTGATACAAAAAAACAGAGACAGGAGAAGAAAAGAAAGAATAAATAGGAAAAAGCAAATTACAACAGAGGAGAAAGGCAGAGATAAGGAAAGCAGCAAGCACAGACCATGTCCTCCTCAACTACTGTTTTCTTCCTCAGTCCACATAACTGTTAGGTAAGAATTTCAACTTTCACTACAAGAACTGAAGTGGAAAGTTAAGAGACAGGCACAGTGTTGCATGTCTGTAATCCCAGCACCTAGGAGACTGAGACAGAAGATTCATCAAGGCTAGTAGTATGGGGTTACATAAAAAAATTAATTAATTAAAAATCCTGCCCCCTCCTTTCTAAAAAGTTTTTTAGAAAGAAAACAAAATCTAAGAAAGGAGTGACTAGCTCCAATTTACATACCAAGTTTTATATACACGGATGGCAATGGTGCCTCATCCACTCAGCATTTCAAAATTGATGTTATGGCATTCAGGAGGCTGAGGCAGAAGATCTCGAATGTGAGATCCTCAAGGCCAACCTCAGCCTCACCACCAAGTTCAAGGTCACTTTGGAGTAAAGAGTGATACCCTGTTGCAAAATATAAAAGAAAGAAATGCCACCTAAATTATCAGTCATATGACATAAGCCTTATAAGTAATAAAAGTAAATGCCTGTTACATGAATGAGAATGTCACAATGTCAGTCTACTTGCAATGTGCCACACATAGACATGTATTTTTTCCCAAGAAAATTAAAGCACAAATCCAAAATAACAAATGCTAAACAGAACAAAACCATGGGGTCAGTGAAATGACTCAGCCAATGAAGGCTGGCCACCCAAGCCTGGGTCAACCCCTAAAACCCACACAAAGGTAAGAGAACCAACTCCAGAGCTGGGGGGTCGTGGCACACACCTTTAATCCCAACACTTGGGAGTCAGTGACAGAGAATCTCTGTGAGTTCAAGGCCAGCCTGGTCTACAGAGGGAGTTCCAGGACAAACACCAAAGCTAGAGAAACCCTGTCTCAAAAAGAGAGAGACAGAGAGAGAGAGACAGAGAGAGAGAGAGAGAGAGAGAGAGAGAGAGAGAGAGAGAGAGAGAGAGAGAGAGAGAGAGAGAGAGACCTAACTCCAAAGTTGTCCTCTGACCTTCACATGTGTACTAAGGCATGCACACAAGCACACATAATCATGTATACCCACATAGTTAATTTTTTAAATAGAACAAAACTCAGTGTTCCTTGATTTATGGTTTTCTGTTTACATAAAATAGCTCTAACTCCACTAAAAAGAGGTTCTAAAGCATAATGCACTTCCTTATGATATAATACTATAAAACAGAAGCTAATGCCATTACAAGAGAGAAGGCAAATCTAGGCAGTGGTGGCACATGCCTGCAATCCCAGCACTCAGAGGCAGAGGGAGGCAGATCTCTATGAGTTCAAAGCCAACCTGATATACAGAGTCAGTTCCATGACAGCCAAGACTACACAGAAAAATCCTGTCTCAAGAATGGGGGGGGGGCACAGTAAACTTCACTAAAAACAAATAAAATTGGCTTATTTTGACAACAATACTGAACTTACCTAAATTTTCCCTGTCACAACAGACAACAATAGGTTCAACTATCATCCCCACTCAGTAAAGAAACCAAGGCCCAGAAAAGTTAACTAAGCTATCAGAGGACAGTCACCCAATAAGTGAGAGGATTCAAACCCAAGCACCCGTAATTCCAGTCTCATGTTTCAATCCAGGAGCAAACCACAATGGAGGAAGAAAGGGGTGCTACGCTTTACAGAGTCATTCTCGCAGGAAGCAAGTACAAATGCACAGAATTGGCAAAATGACTAGTATTTACAAAAGAACAAACACGCAAGGAAAACAGTTTCCTTATGAATACTCCCTACAGTCTTTTATGAAATAATTAAGATATGTACAAATGCAAACTACTAAGAACATTTTGAAAACTCTTTAAAAAAGAAATCAAAGCTAGGCTGATTAAAATAAAAATCAACCTCTAGTGGTGATGGTGGTGCACACCTTTAATCTCAGCTCAGGAGGCAGAGACAGAAGGATCTCTGTGAGTTCATGGCCAGCCTGGTCTACAGAGTGAGTTCCACAAGAGGCTCCAAAGATACACAGGGAAATCCTGTCTCTAAAAACAAAACACCAAAAAATGCCTAAGAGATCAGTAAAGCATACCTCTGGTAGGGGACAGGGTCTGCAAAGACATTTCCAGACACATCACAGAGTTCTAGCCTAATCAACACACTAACCCTCACAGAGCTCTAGTCTCACCAGCACACTAACCCTCACAGAGTTCTAGTCTAATCAACACACTAACCCTTGGTGGACTTCTAGCACAGCTTAACTAGGAGGTGTACCACTAGGGGGACATCCTTGGGGGTTTTATCTTGCCCTAGAACCTTCCTATATTCCCCTTTTTTCTACTCCCTGACCACCATGATATGTAATGCTCTTTCAACAAGCCCTCACACTAAAACAGAATGACATCTTGGAAACTATAAGCCAAGAAATCTTTCCTGCCTTCTCTGAACAGATATTTGAGGCAATTAATCTGCCACTCTTCCTATCTTTTTGCAAACTGCGTCTTCTACTCAGCAGGAAGGCAGGCCTCTTTCTTTTCTCCTGTGAGCCTCCGCTCAGAAAATAGTTCGTGCACTGCTCTCCAGTTGCCCAACTCTGAAACAGTCGGTCTCCTCTCAGTTCATGTATTTAACACCATGCCATGACAGCTTTACCTCTAACACCTCCACTTTCTGGAAACTTCTGTTCATATTAACCTCTTTAAAGGCTCAATCAATCTAACATAGGACAGTTTTAAATGTTTGGTTAAAATAATTATATAGTTAAAAGTTTATACTCCAATTCATGCCTGGTTTTTCTTGCTTTCTAAGAACTGACTTTTGTTCATTTGGTTGGTTGGGGTTTGTTATTGTTGTTGTTGTTGTTGTTGAAACAGGGTCTCACCATGTGGCACTGGCTGTCCTGGAACTATGAAAATCAGGCTAGCCTTGGAATCAGAAATCCATCAGCCTCTGCCTCCCAAGTGCTGGGATAAAAGGTGTGTGCCACCACCCCTAGCTAAGAGCTGAAACATATGTTAAATTACTCAGTAGACTATAAACTACAATGACTACTTGTGAAAAGTAAGATGCTGCTTATCCAAATTAGAAAAGCCTGTCACTTTGGGGGATAGGAGAATTGTCTAAATCACACCTTCAAATCCAAAGCTCCTATATAAGAATCTTGCTTCTGAACTATTCATCAGGAGAAAACAGAAGCACTACAGGAATAAAGGCAAGCAGATCACATGCTTGGAAACGGTCCCTATCTCATTCAGATATCTTGCAATGTGAGATGGAATGAAAATCTGGTGGGGCATAGATATTGAAATAAAAAGAATTGCATTTGTTCAAAAATGTTTCTAGGCTATTATTCTATGTACATTTAATTACAGCCTCAGATCACAAGATTGAATCTAGGAAAATCTCACACTATTGGTTTTTAAAAGGCAGCTCCCTAGATTTCCATCTAAATCGAAATCCTTATTATAATCTCCACTCAGTACCGCAACCTTTACTGCATGTAACTTACCTTGCATTCATCCATTTATCTACAAGATCATTGGCTTGGAGTCTAATCCCTGCCTAAGGGCACAGGGTCACATCAATTCTGTCCCTGTTGTATTTGGCACAGCTAACAGAAATGAGAAGGCTCTTGGTGAATAACTAACTGAATCAGGAATGAGCTAGTGATGTTCCCCAATGTCCTTCACTTTGCCCTTCTTTCTTTGCCTTCTTCAAGGAGGACATCTTGGACTCACCAAATCCTTGTGCTTTAAGTCACTCAGCCCAAGGGTCCCACAAATCCAGTAACTGGGCTCCAAAGACACCTGATGACTCCTATGGCCAGCAACACTGCAATCAAGGTACTTTATGAGTGGTGAATCACAGAACAAATTAAAAAAAAAAAAA